GCGGGTATTCATTGCAATAGAAACTAGTTTTTAGTTTGATCGAAACTCAGCTCAACTTATAGCGCGGACCATAGTTAAATAGGTGTGCGAATATTACAACCAAGTGTCAAAACTGACGTTCTACCTCATTCATGCAGATCAGAGCAGAGTACATGTCAATCATCACCCAATAAATGGCCACAGATGCACGTTGGTAAAAGAGGAGGCAAATCAGTTATAAGGTCACTAGATGCCGTCTAATCAGAACACAACGGTGAGCAGTTACGTGGCGATAGGCCAAAATTGCGGCGAGGCGATGGATCATCATCAGCAGTAGGAGGTAGGTTTCCGTTAGCAATGTCACGAGACGAGCGCAAACTTTGCAGTCGTGCACCTTGAAGGGAAGACGACCGAACACCGACGGATACGTACACGTGGAGTTTTCCAAGACCGGAAGGGTAAGCACTGAGTACCGATTCATTTCCGGCCGGTGGCCGAGTGGTCTGCACCCCTAGCTTGCATTCCTAAGGTCACCGGTTTGAATCCGCATAGGGGCGGACCTCCTCGCGGTATACTCAGCCCACGCGCGAATGGTGGTGGTTGCGCAGCAGCGAAGCGCCGTTACGGCGTACAGCTGACGAGTTTTTCATCATTGCCACATGCTGTTGAGGTTGAAATGCACTGCTTTCATGGTCTCGTTTCGAAAGGCGAAAGCAACGTCTCGTGAAATTAGGAAAAGCACCAACCGGAGATCAAATGTCTATCAGTTAAGGCACCATGAGGAGGACAAAATTATGGTACGACGGTAGAGCAAGAAGTTTCTGGATGCATAAAAAAGTTTTATTCTTTACGACAAAATAAGCGTTGCATCTGCTCGAAATACGCTGCACCAGCGTTCGTGCACACTTCCAGGCGCTCAAAGCATTCGGAGAAACAGCTAGACCATGCGGAAGAGAGTAACCCTCCAAACAGCTCAATAAACGCCTCTACTCCACTTCTGAATTCCACGCATCATGCGCTTGACATTTGAGCACGCAAACAAGTGACACGGAGCCAGGTCTGAACTGTACAGTGGGTGATCAACCTCCCGGCTGCGTTTTCTCTGGCCAGAAAATCTACGACGATATGGGACCTGGGTGCAGGTGTGTCGTCATGGTACAGCAAGGTCCGTCGTGCTCGAGGCCTTGGACCACGCCTGGCTACAGCTTCCAGCACTTGTGGTACACAGTGGGTGGCATGTCAATCTTTGGGGACCGTGCGTTGCCGTACGAGCTGACAGTAGCCACATGACTAGTCTTGGCCAGGAACACAGCCATCATCTGCTTGGGCACACTGTGCTCACGTTGGAATTTCTGAGGCGGCGCCCAACCAACAGTCGTCCAATGAGCCGATTGTTGCTCGGTCCCTGGGTCCAAACTGTACACTCAGGTCTCATCAGCACGGAGGATCTCCCAAACAGTATTGGAACGTCCACAAGCGATTTAAAACTTTGAGAAGCATTTTAATCAGTCAGGATTGCCAGTTTCTGCATCTGCAAATGAGTGCCCTACTCCCTGGGCCGTTTCCTTAGAATGGGCCCTCACGCGCAGAAACTGAACGTGAGAACAGATTGTCCAAGTTGAAGAAGGCCGACGAAGCAAATGGACTTCATCAACGCGTCCTCAAATTTGGGGGGATTTGATATCTCGGACGATTTATATAAGTTATTCATGTATCAATGGGAGCAGGAGACTGTCCCGACAGACTGGGGCCGCTCCATAATAGCTCCAATTTTCAGGGGAGGCTCCAGTTCACAATGCGGGAATCATAGAGGAGTGTGCCCGATTTCAACTTCCTCTAAGTTAATTGCTTCTGTCGTCCTCCATAGACTGTCTGGTATTCGTGAAGAACAAACCGGTTTTCGACGAAAACGAGGCTGCATTGAACACATCTTCACATTACGTCAGTAGCTGGAGCACCGCCATGTTTATTGGTGACTCATCGTAGTCGTGTTCCTCGACATCGGTTGATCGATGTACCCTTTGTGACTGTCTACTAAGGAAGTGTGCCCCAGAAATATGTAAATATTATCCAAGCGCGGGTAGCTCGGGCAGTGAGGGTTTATGGTAAGCTTCCGTCACCCTTCAACAACTCTAGTGGTGTGAGACAAGGTTACCCGCTGTCACCCTTCCCCTTTAACTTCGCCATTGACGAACTTATGGAAACAGCGTTCGTTGGGCACGACTTAGAAGGTATGGAGCAGCTCACAAATGAACGACTTCTCGACTTGGAGTATATGCCGACGACATTGCCCACATATGTGACAGCGCCTAAACGTGCCAAGTTACACTGGATAAAATAGCTCTGGTTGTGTCGTTTCGCACTATGCTTTGCACCAGCTAAATGCAAAGTTCCCCATGATTGGCAGGTACCCAATCCTGCATTGACCCTTGGCGACGACAATTTAGAAGTCGAAGACTGACAAATGCACGCGTGCATTTGCCAGTCTTCGTCTTCTTACTGCGCTTTTCAAATTACTAAGGGAACTAACTGTTTCAATCGGCCGGTGGCCGAGTGGTCGGCACGTTTGCTTTCCAACCATAAGGTCACCGGTTCGAATCCGCGTAGGGGTGGGCGTCCTCGCGGTATACTCAGCCCGCGCGCGACTGGTGGTGGTCGCGCGGCAGCGAAGCGCCGTTACGGCGTATAAGCTGACACATTTCATTTCATTTCATTCATTTTCAACTGTTTCAAATTTAGAAGTCGTCGAAAAATTCAAGTATCTGGGAAGCTATATCAGTGCCATTGGAAAGGAAGATGAGATTACGAACCGTATAGCAAAAGCTCGATACGTTTTTGCTAATCTCCGCCATTTGTAGCGCCGGCGCGAAATTACTCTTGCCCTGAAGGGCAGAGTTTACAATGCGGCCGACCGTACAACCCTCCTGCAAAGTTATGCAACCTGGCCCATCAAGTCGACAGACACAAAGAGGTCAGTTACGTTCCAACATCGGTGTCTTCCCAGCTTAGCTCATGTCTGGTGGGTGGGAGCACCGCGTGAGCAATGAGCGTGCTCGGCGCCGCGTATTTGGTGCAAGAAAAGCGAGCGAACCGCTCAGCATCGTTATAACACGTACCAGGTTCCGGTCGGCCGGTGACCGAGTGGTCTGCACGTTTGCTTTGCAACCATAAGGTCACCGGTTCGAATCCGCGTAGGGGTGGGCGACCTCGCGGTATACTCAGTTCGCGCGCGACTGATGGTGGTTGCGCGGCAGCGAAGCACCGTTACGGCGTACAGCTGACAAATTATTTATTTATTATTACTATTATTATTATTATACCAGGTTCCGATGGCTGGGCCACGTGTTGCGCATGCCAACCCACCGACTCCCGCTATGTGCGTTGTTTGTGCGCCAGGGGCGTGGATGAAAAAAGATGAGGAGAGGCGAAGCAATGAGTTAGTCAAGAGGAATGAAGTCCCTCAATTCCAAGTTGGCGTCGGTGGGTGTTTCCCGACTGCCTGGCTGGGGACCGAAGGATGATAAACATGTTAGGTTGAATCCAATAGCCGATGTGGCGAAAAGTCGAATTCAATGGCGTCTGTGTTTTGAGTCTACTTGTTCCTCCCTTTCTCTTTATCTACCCCCTCCAAGAACGATTACAAATGTAATATTAGTATTACGCTACTCTTCGTATCTTAAGTCTCCATTGATTAACGTCATACCTTATCTATACTGCGGCACATTAGTTGGGGTGTGTTTCTCACCTTTGGCTAAGGTGTATTGAAGATGAATCATGAGGATGATTTAATTACAGTTATCGAGCGTAAACAGAGAACAAACAGGCAGGGAGACTACAATGAAGTGCGTATTCGAATGTCAGAAGGACATTCACAAATAGTACTCGGCAAAACGAGCCAGCAGAATTGTCTGTTGGTGGTTGTGAGTGAAACGGTGGGCATAGCTGACAGGCAACATCGTTCTCTCTCAGTATAACACATGATGGCAGTGCCACCCATCCCGGTGGCAAATTGAACAGAGTACAGTCGTAATAATAAGAAGTAAAACTTCATGGAGTCTCGCGTCATCAGTGCTGTGTCAAATACACTTCTGGGTATATTAGACCACGGGTATGTACGCAAGAAAAGTAGTTACTTGTAATCTCACGTCCCAAGCAGTGGTGCGCGTGAGGGCTGAAAGTCGAGAATTGCAACTTAACGTTTAACCTCTCTCACAGGAAGAACTTAACGATACTGCAACGCGTGTCTGAATTTTTCCAAATACGAATGGAAACGACACATGAAAGCATTCGGTAGAGAGGTTAACGAGTTGGATATTCACTGATCAACGCCACATCATAAAGCGCTCTGGCCTACAGTAGAAGCGGTATTGAATTCAGGTGACAAGGAAGCAGTGACTGGCCTCACACAATGCAACATCCACTCGAGCGGATGAATAAGCATCGGTTTGGTTTCAATGATGGGCAGCTGAATCTGACGGTTTGCCGACCAAACTCCAACCCAAGGGTTATGGGCTTAAGCCTGTATTGCACAAAGCAGACGATCCAGTGATGGACCAATCACGGATTCACAAAGCTGGTATTAATTCGATGGAAAAATTACTCTTAGTAACAATGGCAAAGAATGAAAATAAGGAGACGATGATCGGGACGGAGAAAAAAATCTCACATATGTAGATTATATTAACCTAAAATGTATGCAGATCGAGTGGCCGGTCATTCTCCAGAATAGCCAGTGCACCACCAAAAGTGACAACGAGTGCGACGTCTAGTGAACAACATAACGCGGCGTCAATGCATGCAAAAAGAGGTGCGTCGTTGAGAGATGCAGGAATGTAGCGGCTCCGAAGCCTTGCAACAGGCAAGCGAACAAAGAGGGCTCCTGTGTCAAAACCCTACTACAGCAGGCAACCCGTTCAGGTCAAACAACTGGTGGTGTGTCGCTGCCGCCGCAGTTAGAACGGAGTCGGGAACTACGGGGACAAGTGAAATAACAAAGGCGGAAAAAGAAGAGTAGAACTCACCTTTGTGAGGTGGCACAAAGCTGATACCACGGCGGAGCCTTGTTCCCTTGCTTGCCACATCACATAAACGAGAGAACGTGTGATGAGGCTGACCAGGTAAGCAGAGGACAAATGATGAGTGTCGAGGCAATAGTTGTACAACTTGGTAACAAGGTTTTCCAGTGTTGTCTGCTGTAGAGCGCTGGAATCCTCAGCCGAGAATCCGTTAGTCGACGCTCCCTCCGATAGAGAATCATCGCATGCACGACAGAACAGATGGAGCAGGTGCGCGTAAATGCGATGCAACCTTCGAATAATTGTGGGTAATTCACGGTACACTTCCCAGTACAAGACGAATGCTGTCAGCGCATACTATACAGGGAGGAAACGGAGTAGTGGACAAGGATGGGTCAATGACAGAAAAGTTCGACTGTCCAGAGTGGTCTCCATTTTAACAATAATAAATCTGTGAATGTGATGAAGCAAAAGATAAGCACCATTCCCAATCAGTTGCGACATTTTCGGCGATCCAGTTTGTGGGGTTCCCAAGTGCACAAATCCGTAGGATCTGGTAGGGCGGTCAGCAATGAATAACACAATGTGGTGCCAGTGATCAATAGGAGCTCAGTTATTTAACTATAGCCAGTGCACCAAAGTACGGTGGATTAGATTGCTATAACTCAGGTCACCATGGCAGCAAAAAGTGGATAGGTGGAAATGAACAACATGATATGAGGTACGCAGCGGTACAAAAAACACGGTCAGAACAAACCGGGTGCATCGGATGAAAAAGTTAACAGGTAAATGCAAGAGGTTGAATGCCAGAGTGACGGTGATTTCGAGACTATGCCCCAGTGACCGAGATGTCTAGCGACTTCCGTAACAGTTACAGGAATGAAAGCCCATGGAAAAGGACCATAGACAACTAAACATACACGCCACGAACACATTCAATAACGCAAGATTAACGAAACTAGTGGCAGTAACGTTCTTATGAAGGTGGTGCACGCACCGAATATGAATCCGGAATGTCTTGGACATGTTTTCATAGCTTAGCAAGCAAAGTGGATTGAGATTTAGACAATTATGCAAGCGAGCGCCATAGAATAAAAAACAGGATAGGCTTTCACATAAAGACGTGTGCCGCGAGAAAAGCTGTACCTCCGCGGTGATAGATGATACAAAACAGCTACCTAAGCGTTTGTCGGTTAAGCAAATAATTTCCCTATAGGTGAACACAATCCTTAAGGTACCTAGGCTATCGTAATGCCAAGACGTTGATAAACTGGGATATTTTGCACTAAATGACCATCCTTTAGGTGGACACAGCTTTTGTGGAGTGGCAGAGAACAAACTCATGCAACTAGATGCCGGATCGGGTGGGGAATTGGAACTAATAGCCCAAGCATTTGGCCCTGGATTCTTACTGTGAAGCGTAAGTACAGCCTATCATAAACAGTGCTGGACACACTTGTTGGCATGACAAGAAGTCGATTTCAGTGGGGTCTGTCGTGAGTTTCATCGCCCCTACTCCTCCCCGTTAGTCGCCCCCTTCAATCACGATCTCATTTACTAGGCATAATGTATTTTTCGCGGCACAATAGCCGGCTGTTAGCTCTACGGAACGATGTTCACTTATCACTTGTGACTCGGCCGGCGTGCTGTTGCATGTTTATTCGTCTTTTCTCATGTATTGCGCCACAACAGCTGAGGTGTTTTCCACCTCTAGCTAGCGTGTATAATAAATGATGGTGATGACCACAAACAGTGAGAGCCAGGCGGGAGAAGATTGACGATACGGGTGCATCGGGTCAACAAGGAATGATAGCGAAGCGTTTGTGGAATCGAACACCGATTGTCGAATGGTTAGATGTTGCTAAGTTCCCCCCTCAACGGACGATCTATGGATGCGGGAGCATGAACAGATAATGAAAACTATTTGGTCAAAAGGCACATAGAAAAGTAGTGACGTAGTGAAAAACATTCTACCTGTCGTCTCCTCTTACGACAATCACCGGAGTTTGCAGAAACAGGAAACCAGTAAGAACAAAGAGAGTAGACTTGAATCAAAAAGGTCCAATGGTAATCTCAAAGCAAATGAGGCAAGACAAACGACACGGTGATTGAACCATAGCCTGTGGTCGAAACGCTTAACTGATTGCTGCATGTTACTCTCTTGAATCGCTGCCTGACCATGATCGGACTTCCTCATAAAGGTATTGCCGCAACGAAAACTAACAGAGGATGGTGGCCGATCGACATGCGAGAGCGATCAGGTAGTAAACGAAAACCATCGAAATTTACCCATCGTTGCACAAAGCTACCGATGGCTTTAATTTTCAGAACTAAACGATCTACTACAACAAGTCTAACGTGAGTATCTCCTCAGACAGATAAAGCGTCTGCAAAAAGCAGTGCTCATGCGTTCAAACCAGTTAAAAGGGAAACCCAGCACGTGTGACTTACCAAAAGTAGATCAGGGGTAAGTACGTCGGAAGGAAGTTCTTCCTGCAAAGCCTCGAACGACTGGTATCCGAGGAGGTAGCAACCAAAAATAAGTGAGCCTGGAAGCGAAACCGATTCGTTTCAGGCTCAAAAACCACTAAGTCAAGTGAGATGTGACTTAAACGAGAACGCGATGCATCTGGCAGAAAAGGTTGTTAAACGCATATTTTAAAAGTGATATAAAGAGGAAGAGCAGGGAGTTGCATATTTTAGGAAACCACTGTTGTCGAAAAACGTATACAGCGAAAGACAAAAACATCGCAGATGGACCCTATGCCGAGATTGAAGTGAAAGATGAAGCCAATATTCATAAGTAAAAGAAGGAAAAGCAAGGAAGATAGCATCATCCGGAGAACGTTTCAACTGAACCGTAAATAACATACGATGTATCATCTGCTTATAGCATGCACCATACCGCGGTGATAAAAATGTGACAAAACCCATACAAAATATTGTACGGAAGACGGTTCAAGTGGCGAACAGCTTGCAGATTACAGCAACCTAAGCAAAGGGACTCCCTGTACATAGATAAGTAGGACGGTCTCTGAAGAAGTAACAAAAATACAGTATGATGTTCAAGGAGACCGGTTGTGTACTGTAATCCGTTCTGACACACCAGTTAAGCTTACTTGCCGTTCCAACCAAAACCAGTAGCGGTTTGAACGAGCGCTCGCGTGTGTGGCTATTTTTCGCATTTCGCTGTTGCCCTACTGACTGACGTTAGTACTTTCGCAGAGATGGTGGAAATCCACCGTCCATGCGTCCGTGTTGATGACGTTTGTTTTGAGTTGGAACAATAAGGAAGGAAAAACCTGCGTTCATTCGGGCACGTAACATGTATGCCCGCTCACAGAGTGCCGATGAAGATCTTGTTTTGTTTACCGTATATACAATGAGGTAAGTCTCGAGAGGGTCAATCGGCAGCCTAGCTGCCGAAAAAATCACTGGCCAAAGTCTGATTTGTTAGCATGGTTAAAATCACATTTATCCGATCGAAGAGAAATGGTAATCATCGGCAATAAATCTTCAAAACCCACAGTAGTCACCAGTTGAGTAAACCAAGCTGGTGTACTGGGTCACTTCCTTGTTATTTTGAAAAAAAGCAAGCATAGGTATGTATTTTTATATGTTGAAGATATAAATAAAGCGCCTACGCACTCGAAAGTAAGGATTAGTGCGAGTCACTTAAACGTATCCATAATGTTCTCTAATCCCTAGTGTGCTGAATTCGTCTGTGAGAGATAGAGCTGGCTTCAGAAAAATTCAAAATTATTTCTTATGGATGCCACATTCCATCCGAAGGACTTTCTGATGAACAGTTCACGCAATGCAATTCCATTCGAGACCTTAGTGTGTGATATTCGGTAACATGTGACTTTCTAAATAGCGAAGGCTAAACGACAATTAGCTTTGTTTGCATTGTTTGCGCTCCTCGAAGTTAGATTTAAGCTATACATTGCATATGTGCTACCTACATTGGAATACTGCTCATTTGTTTGCATTAATTAGCGGAAGTGTGAAAAAATAGCTCTTGAGAGGATGCAGAGAAGCTTCCGGAAGCATTTGATAGAGTACTCCACCATTATGACTTAGCACCAGCGTTGTCAACAACTTGGTCTTGATCCTTTATGGTTGCAGAGGCTGATAAGCAACCTCCGTTATCCATCTCGTGTCATCAACCATCCTGTGCACGTTGACGTCGATAGCGTGCACATAGACATTAGCGAACGATACGAATTTAGAAACAATTCAATGAAGCTTCATGTACTGTGGTGCACTAGGACAAGCGAAAGATTCTTCCTAATAGTGTATTTCAAGATGTGGAACACCCTGCCAGAAAACACTGGGCAGACAAAATCACCTAAGATGTGTACGAGAAATACAACGGTATCTTACAGTGAATTCTATAAGATGCTGAGCACAACGGATGGAGTTAATGAAGTAGTTGCAAACGGTGTAGGTAACAAATGGGGAAAGTTACGAACCTCGAAAAAATTCCGTTCCGTTGGTTATTTCTCTTCTATTACTGCCATGTTTACCTCGCGGCCCCCATGTCCACATGGAAGCCAAAGATGGTAAATCGAGCTGTTATCCCTATCCTTTGATTCATCTTCTTCGCTACTTAGGCTATGCTAACCTCGTGTTCACATAGGAAGGAGAAGGAAAACAAACCGAGCTCGTGTCTGCGCTCTTCTTACACCTGTTACACACAAACTTTATTCGGCCTGGATACGTAGACGTTTCAGATGCCGCACCAATCTCGAAGTTTTATTTCGCTACAGAATGCCGAAAAGATAAAGTAAACAGAGCCCTTTTGCATTTAGTTCCATCACCTAATGCTTATTGATTAAGTGTATTGCGTATATGCGTAAATTCTTGTTATCAGATCCATCTCCTTCCCTATACTTTTCATTTTCGCCGCTGCTCGGATATCCAATACTTTCTTGAAAAGAAGTCTAGCAAACAAGTGTATTTTCGGTTATTCATCGCCAGACCAAATACAACAAATCTGCATAGTTAAGATGGCTCGCTGCACAGTAGAATCCACAGGAAAACGACATGGACAGGTCAATATACACAGGTTGATAGATTTGTGTCAATTTGACAGAAACAGAACCTAGTTCAGTGCCATTGGAAGAGTGGCGAAAATATGCTCCGGGGACACAAGTGAAGCAGAGCACGATTTGATAGAATATTTCTTGATAATGGCCATTCCGAGGAATATGTGAGCTGATTGTGTGGTTACCGAAGCATCCACAGTAGGAAAGAAACCCGTATACTTCGCAATGTTGTTCAAGTGAGACAACAGTTTTGAACACATTAGCAAACGAATAAGAGCAGACGTCATTGGCACTTATAGCGCTATACAATTACGCACTAGCTTCAATTCCACACTAATGCTTCGCCTGCGGTTGGAAGATAAACTGTCTGGGGATGTCACCTTATTCGGTGTGAACCAATTTACCTGTTCCTGCGGGACAAGTCACATCACGAGGCATTTCGTTAAACGTGTCCGCGAGCAGCAATCAGTTTGGCCACGCCGAGGGTTGAAGGAAACGTGCGCCACCGAAATAGTCGTCAGCAAGTCTAAACGGATCATCCCGTGGTCATCTACAAAACCTTTCCCCGTATCCACATGTGAGGAGTCTCCATACAAAACTTATCAGATGCATTGTCGGAAGCGATCGCGATTGGTTTCTACAACCACTAGTTGTGTGCATAAACAGCTTGTCAAGGCTTTGACCTTACCGTTGCCAATCGTCTTCCGGTGTAGCTTCTGCGCGGCAAAATCGCAATTATTATGGTCATTTTAGCACAATTTTCTAGCTACTCAATTCACCGTTTCTTCTCTTGACTAAGCGAATGTGTTGTATTTGGCTTAAGGATGAATAAACGAAAACGAGCTTGTTTGCTAGACTGTTCTTGCACGACTGAAACGTGGATTATTCGCCATTATTCTTTTCCTTATACAAAATGGTGACGTGTGCTGTTAGTAGAAGTAAACCGCACACACAGTTGGTGAGAGAAGAATACTCTGCTATTGTGATGCTGGTCCCCGAACTTTCAAAAGAGTTGACCCAACCAATGTCACACCTTTTTGCTAAGCTTGTACTTACGTTTCGATGCTGATATATCGATAGACTGATTATACAGAACTTCTCCTTTTCAGCAAACTTCAGTCATTTCTTCCACAAAATGTACCACAGGTGACACCTTCAAAAGTAATGAAAAGAATATGATAATTTGAAACTTAAACGAGGATCGGTTGTATTTAAGAAAACAAGTTATAAGATGCTGAAGAAATTCAAACACCCTTCCTCACTTTCATCCTTTCGATATACCTGCCCCATATACCGTAACCTCTGAACCTAAACATAATTAGTAATTATTATGCGAGAGTACGACACATCTGTAACCCTTTGAGTCTGACCGTGCTTCTTGGGATCAGCTTCTCACAAAATCGAGCGATTAACTAATTATTTATTTATTACACTGAGTGGTGCTGTTTCACCTAGACTGTCTGGCTGCTGTTCCATGGGATTACCTCTGTGCTTGTTTCGAGATCACAGAATACGGCACAAACATGGCATCAGTTGCGCGCTTGGTACCGTCTACTAGCTGCACCACCTGGCTAAAGTGTATCTGAGGCCGAATGCTGTGTGGGGCAAGGTTGTTGATAACAGGGATAGTGAAAGCCACAAGGAAGCTGTCTTGCCGATACCGCTTATCTCCGCAAAGTGGTAAGCTGTTTGTGAGCATGCAGTATTGGCAAGATGCGGACATTTCGATCCTGAGTTTCCACGAAATATATGTAGTTTAAGTACCAGATCGCCCGTTTTTAGTTGTGACTGGAATGCAGTGAGGTGCCAGTATAAAGAACCGTGGGACGGCGTTGATCATTAGGTTACCACAACAAACAGTACACCGTTCCAGTACATGCAACCATTAGATATGCCCACTTATCATCCAACATCAGCAATAGTTCCATTTTACTGCTCAGTCTACAAGCTAAAATTGGGTGGCCGGAAACCGACCTTATGCTGACTTCTCATAGATCGCCGCTGACTTTCCAGGATGCATACAAAAGTAATGGAAATGGCCTCACATGGAATGAATAAGTAGCTCAGCTACCCATTCTCCTCGGTCGTAATTATCGAGTCCGACATTATCAACGAGAGGGATGAGAAGGCGTTGCCCCAGAACCACCAAGACTGACGACAATGCTGGCGTGCGCGTGATCTTCAGTTTGTTGCACAGGTGGGTAATCTCTTTAGCCACAAGTCGAGGTGTGTCAATGGGTGGGTGGTATCGTGTACAGTTAACAAACGCATCAGTTGGCCGGTAGTCAAACGAAACCGTTGAGCGACTTTGGTTACATACATTGAGGCGAGAAATTCGACGGTCAATCGCATCCAACATGACAATATGAAAAAGATGCGCAGAGCAGCATCTTCTGTGAGAGATCACTTACCTATCTTGGCCAGCTGAATGGAAGAGTCGTCCGAACCGAAGCGAACTCTGACATGTAGAGTGGGCGAACTGCTGGCAGAATCGGACGACGTGTTTGTGAGGAAATGGAAACAATCCACAAAACCATGCAAATCCATCGGCCGGGAGAGTTTTAAATGGGTACCAGATTTCAAAGTAGAGTTGCAAAAAGCGTACAGCTTAAAACAACGACTGGCCTCCTCCAAATCCCAGTTAAGCAAATCAGCAATCGTCTTGAAATGTGGGGGAAAGGGTGTGAAAATTAGTGCGTGCGTTAACGGTATTACTAGAACACGGGTACACGGGTACAAAGAAGCAAAAAACTACACGGGTTACTAGAACCAGTAAAGAGATACGAGCTAAGTGTGGTCATTTGTCGCATCATTCATTATTACTTTGTAGACGGGGAAGTCGCAGAGAAAAGTACCGAAAGAGACGTTGCATTAGTGGAAAAGCGAAAAGTACGCACCTCTAGTTCATCCGTCCAGACAACATTAGTCGGTCCAGAGCCGATAACATCGTCCGCATATGAAACCGAGTCGTTGATGAGAGTAGAAAACTTCAGGTAACATTGGGTGAGGGAAAGAATTCCGATGCAAACTGAGTGCAAACGTTCAAATCCGGACACTTTGAAATCTGGTTCGTCAGGAATAGTGCCCCTCCCTGTGGATAGTGAAAACATCGGCTTAACCTGATAACGAACAAAAACCGTGAGGTGTTTTTCCAAGAGTAGTTAGTGTGGCAAGGGAGAACGCCATAAACTAATGGAATCAAATTTTCGAAGGAGATTCATCACGGCCACACATAATTAAGCAACCACTGCATCCGCAGGAAATCACAGGACGGCGGCTTCATCCTTACCAACTTAGGTGCCGTATACCCAATAAATCTATTGTATAGGAAAAGAACCAAGATGCATTGCCAGGATGCCTGAAAGCCAACGCGCGGGTTTGGCCGAGTCTGGCTGTGGAGAATGCCCTTCGGAAGATTTGACACACGTCTGATCTTACATTACTCTCTAAAAACCAGTGATTGCTCATGTTCATTTGTGATGATATCCGACGATGATGGCTCAGCCGGGGAAATCGAGATTCGGGGACCCAGCCCTGTCCATGCATGATGAAAACGCGTACGGTGTCGGAGAATGCGTATACGCGCTAATTCAAAATGTTGAACAGTGACTTCGCTTTTTGTTTCATCATAGCTCTCGACTCTTATTCGGCCATATATAACTGGTGAATCACATTCTCACACGGAAGCAGAGAAGGAAACGCCAACCGGCCATTTGGTACAAATCTCCACACAACCAATAGTTTCTGCCCTAATTTTGTCACGAACATCGCTAAGTTTTTGTTTCGCAACATAATGTTCAAAGGAGAAAGCAAACAGAGCCTCTATTCCATTGCAGTCACGTAATATGTAATGACCAACAGAAGGTTGTAAAAGATTACAAAGGCGTAAACGCTTGTGAACACCTTTATCACCTCCGCCATAGCCACCTCCTTCCTCACCGTTCATATGCACAAAAATAATTTTCATGCAAAATGGTGGTTTTATTTTTAAGAGTAAACTGCACGTCGTTGGTTAGAGACGAATGCAGCGCCATGCCGATGCTGGTACCTAGACATCCAGAAGAGTTCGCCGAACTCATGCTATACTTCTTTTCCAGCTGTGCTTACGTCTCGAAGAAGACACGTGTATATATATATATATATATATATATATATATATATATATATATATATATATATATATATATATATATATATATGGTTGGCGGCATCCGGTTTCGGATTTGCCTGTCACTGTGACCAGCCACAGAACGCCTGCGCCTACAGAGGGACGATAGGTGGCTTGCGCTGCACCACCCACACACCTTTATATCCAGTGTAAACCCGAAGGAATAAGACCGGGAGGCATGCGGATGGGAGCCACGTTTCATCAACGGAGCCGGCCCACACTCCTTCACAGGCAAACACAAGCACGCTGTATTTAGGGAATCAAGCGCACACAAGGCGGTGGTTGGACCGTAGTCCACTCCACACTGAGTGCATGAAACCACTCTTTCATCCTAGCACGGCCACAACGACCGTGCACCCCGTCCCCTAGAGCCAGTATAGACGAGGTAGTGGGTAATAGACAGGTAGGCACCTTGTCAACATGCACATCAAGCGCAGCCACATCGGGGATATCAAGCAACAGCCAATCACTTGAGAGAAAGATAACTAAGAAAATAATTCGAGTAATTCATAAAGAAACGTGAGTATATGAAATAAGTTGTTTACAAACGAATACGAAGTAAATTTATGAGGTCAGAAAGTATATTTTACGGAAATGACACAAACACGAAAAAAATATCGAAATCAACTACAATTGGCTTAAGCGAGGTGTGTAAGTTTATAGAAGAGGGTACAGGTAGACATTTATATGGGAAGGAAAAGCATTAGGACAAAATTGAAAACCCACCACCTGAAATAAAGAGACTTTGCATGCAGGCACGCGGTTTGTAAATCGAATGGAGCGTACCTACAAACGCTGCGCTGGTTATGCATACGTTCTATGCAGGACCCGTCGTCGCGTCGATAGTGGTCCCCAGTGGCTTCGCTCATGGCTCACTAGGCCTGCCTGACTCAGGCACTCGCAACCACATGTTCTACAGCACCATGCGCTCGATGTGGATGAAGTACAATTCATTGGTGCTTGCCGCTTCCGCAATTGCCGCTTCTTCTCTGCATATATGAGATCGTTTTTCCGTACTTCGGCAACTGCCTTCGTGATCAGATCGCGCCATGCACGCCGATCAACCGCCTTCGATTCCCATGATCTGCAATCAAGCTTAGAACGTGAGAGGCTCACTTTAATCATGTCCTGGTAACGTAACTTTGGTTTCCCCACGTGCCGCTTTCCCATACTCAGCTGACCATAAAAGAGTTGTTTCGCTATCCGCGTCAAATCCATACGGCTCACATGACCGAGCAACCTCAGTTGTCTCGGCAAAAGTATGCAGTCCACTGCATATGCTCCACTTGGTCGCAAAACTTCCGTGTCCGCAACGCTGTCGCCCCAAGCGATGAGCGAAATCCGTCGCAAACACTGCTGATGGAACCGCTCGAGATATCGCACATCCCGCCGGTACATCGTCCACGTTTCACTGCCGTATAGAAGAACGGACAGCACCATGGATTTGTACACCATCAGCTTCGTGCCAATGGTACTATATATATATATATATATATATATATATATATATATATATATATATATATATATATATATATATATATATATATATATATATATATATATATATATATATCAGAGAGAGACCACATAGATAGAATATGATACTGCTAACCCTGCAATATTATTGTACATTGGCGATCATTTGTGTTGATATTACTATGATCGTGCGTGTTCAGGCGTGCCTCGCGTTGTCGAGAATATACTATTTATTTATTTATTATCGAGTCACCTCACTGAAAACGATATGCCACGTAGACGATATGTTTGGATGAATCCGAAATGACTCGTGAAAGAAATGTCGGGAGCCAACAACAGTCAGTTGAGGCAATCGAAAATGTTGTTACCTTTGTTGCATATAATAATAAACTCTGCGACGCAATTCATCGAGAGATTTTATCGACCGATTCCAAATGAAACATGGGAACTAAGTTGATGTGATTTGGTTGAAAATGCAACAAGTTAAAGTGTAGATGGACGGTTGTTGTTTCTTTATCAACAATGTGAGATAAATGCAGCTGTGTGACGGTGGACCATGATCCTTTACGTTTTGTTGCATAAACAGCATGGAGTTTGGTCAAGAAAGTGGCAGATGATGAAGCATTCATGACCGTGAAGAACTACGTTAAACTCATAGTGAGGAATCGAGGAAACATGAGCCTAAAGAAAATGGAGGTGCGTACTGAGCTGCGATATTTCATTGTTGGAAAGACCGAGAATTTCAAGCGTCAGATGATAAGCCTCCGAAGCCAGTTGCATATGGTCATATTCAATGCCAGTGTGTGGTTGGAGCTGTGGGTCGCACAGCGGAAGCTACCCATGGTACCTCTGTAGGCGCAGGCGTCCTGCGGCTGGCCACAGTGACAGGCAAATCCGAAACCAGATGCCGACAACCATGACATATATATATATATATATATATATATATATATATATATATATATATATATATATATATATATATATATATATATATATATAGGCCTACATTGAACGGCCTGAAGCAGCACGATGTGAAGAAGAGTCTAGCTGACACGTCGACACTGGATGAGACGCACAGAGCACTTGCTCAGTTGCGAAACGGCAAATGTGCCGGAGGTGACGGGATCCAGCCTGAAGTATTGAAACACGGCGAACCCGCGTTGTTGATTGCGCTGCACCACTTGGTGCAACCCGTGTGGATTGAGGAGGAGGTGCCTCCTGAGCTGAAGGATGCCCTTGTGCTACCACTGTACAAGGGTAAAGGGAGCAAGCAATGTTGCACGGATTGTCGTGGCATCAGCTTACTGAGTTGTGCGAGCAAGGTGATTGCCCGAATCCTGCTCAACCGCCTCGTCAGTCTGGTTGTGGAACCTAACGTGGCGACAGAGCAGTGTGGACTCCATTCAAGTCACAGCACTATTGATATGGTGTTTGCGGCTCGTCAGTTGCAGTAGAAGTGCAGAGAACGACACCAGCCGTTGTACTCGCTTTTTGTTGATTTCACCAAGGCATTTGATACGGTGAACCGCGATGTATTGTGGCTGGTGTTGGGTAAGTTTGGTTGCCCTCGTAAGTTTGTAAGTTTAATTGAGTGTCTGCACAGTGGTATGCGAGCGAGGGTGCAGCTGAGTGGAGAGACCTCGGATGACTTTGCAGTTGCTTCTGGTGTGAAGCAAGGCTGTATCTTAGCTCCTGCCCTGTTTAGTATCTATCTTCATGCAATGATATCTTGTGCTTTTGATGCCGCATGTGCTTACGATGTTCGTATGGAGCACCGTATTGATGGGGGGTTGCTGAACATCCGTCGTTTCGGTGCGAGAACTCTAGTCTGTGAGACAACCATTCGTACGTTGCTGTTTGCTGACGACTGTGCGTTGTTTGCACACAGCGCGGATGAGTTGCAGCACATGACTAGTGCTCTGACTTCAACAGCGACCAAATTCGGGCTCACCATCAACACAAGCAAAACTGTCTGTCTCTTTCAGCCTTCACCGGAAGTGCAATCTTCAATATTGCCGCGAATCAGCATTGGTGCTGAAGTATTGGAAACCACCTCCCGCTTCTGCTACTTTGGGAGTGTGATGTCGACTGATCAGCAGCTACACGTTGAGTTGCGTAATCGCGTGTCGAAGGCGGCAGCGGCAGTCGGGAAGCTTGAGTACCGAGTGTGGAACAACCATCAGCTTAGCATTGGCACGAAGCTGATGGTGTACAAATCCATGGTGCTGTCCGTTCTTCTATACAGCAGTGAAACATGGACGATGTACCGGCGGGATGTGCGATATCTCGAGCGGTTCCATCAGCAGTGTCTGCGACGAATTTTGCGCAACAGTTGGGGCGCCAGAGTTGCAGACACGGAAGTGTTGCCACAAAGTGGAGCGTATGCAGTGGACTGCATACTTTTGCCGAGACAACTAAGGTGGCTCGGTCATGTGAGCCGTATGTATTCAACGAGGATACCGAAACAAATCCTGTACGGTCAGCTGAGTATTGGAAAGCGGCATGTGGGGAAACCAAAGTTACGTTACCAGGACATGATTAAAGTGAGCCTCTCACGTTCTAAGCTTGATTGCAGATCATGGGAATCGAAGGCGGTTGATCGGCGTGCATGGCGCGATCTGATCACGAAGGCAGTTGCCGAAGTACGGAAAAACGATCTCATACATGCAGAGAAGAACGGCAAGCACTGATGGGTTGTACTCCATCGACATCGAACGCATGGTGCTGTAGAACATGTGGTCGCGAGTGCCTGAGTCAGGCAGACCTAGTGATCCATAAGCGAGGCCACTCGGGACTACTATCGACGCGACGACGGGTCCTGCATAGAACGTATGCATAACCAGCGCAGCGTTTGTAGGTACGCTCCATTCGATTTACAAACCGCGTGCCTGCATGCAAAGTTTCTTTATTTCAGGTGGTGGGTTTTCAATTTTGTTCTAATGCTTTTCTTTCCCATATGGTTGGCGGCATCCGGTTTCGGATTTGCCTGTTTCTGTGGCCAGCCACAGGACGCCTGCACCTACAGAGGGACCACGAGTGGCTTGCACTGCACCACCCACAGCTCCAACCACACACCCCATTTCTAGTGTAAACCCGAAACAATAAGACCGGGAGGCATGTGGATGGGAGCCACGTTTCATCAACGGAGCCGGCCCACACTCCTTCACAGGCAAACACAAGCACGCTGTATTTAGGGAATCAAGCGCACACAAGGCGGTGGCTGGACCGTAGTCCACTCCACACTGAGTGCATGAAACCACTCTTTCATCCTAGCACGGCCACAACGACCGTGCACCCCGTCCCCTCCAGCAACGACCAACTGTCTTCTGAAGCCAGTATAAACGAGGTAGTGGGTAATAGCCAGGTAGGCATCTTGTCAACATGCACATCGAGCGCAGCCACACCGGGGATATCAAGCAACAGCCATTCACTTTAAACGACAAGCTGAAATAATATAAATCTAATAATGCGTACAGATACGGTTGCATAACTCTTCCCTAAATTACCATATGAAGTTGGTTAGCAACAAATCCGCGATAAGTAAGAAATGTCCACAAGTTACTTAAAATGCTACAAACGCAACAAAATTACCGAAGATAAGCGCAATTAGCGCAAATAACGTGGCTAGTCAATAGAAGACTATTCAGGTAGGCAGAACAAACCAAATAAAGTGGAATGAAATTTATCCAGCTTAAAAAGACCTAGTTTAAGTGTAAGTTGGTTTAGCCCAACTGCGGTGAAGAAGCATCAAGAATGCAACATCAGCCCCATATAAATGCCTACGTATACCCTCTTCTATACACTTGCACACGTTGCTTAAGCCACTTGTAGTTATTTCGGTAACATTTTCGTGTTTGCAGCATCTCCGTAAAATAAACTTCCTGACCTAGTGAACTTACCTCCTATTCCTTTGTAAACAACTTATTTCGTATGCTCATTAATTTACCATTTATGTCACGGTTTCCTTATGCATTACTCGAATTATTTTCTTGGTTATCTTTCGCTCAAGTGATTGGCTGTTGCTTGATATCCCCGATGTGGCTGCGCTTGATGTGCATGTTGACAAGGTGCCTACCTGTCTATTACCCACTACATCGTTCATACTGGCTCCAGGAGACAGTTGGTCGTTGCTGGAGGGGACGGGGTGCACGGTCGTTGTGGCCGTGCTAGGATGAAAGAGTGGTTTCATGCACTCAGTGTGGAGTGGACTACGGTCCAACCACCGCTTTGTGTGCGGTTGATTCCCCAACTACAGCGTGCTTGTGTTTTCCTGTTAAGCAGTGTGGGCCGGCTCCGTTGATGAAACGTGGTTCCCATCCACATGCCTCCCGGCCTTATTCCTTCGGGTTTACACTGGATATAAAGGTGTGTGGATGGAGCTATGGGTGGTGCAGCGCAAGCCACCCATGGTCCCTCTGTAGGCGCAGGCGTTCTGTGGCTGGCCACAGTGACAGGCAAATCCGAAACCGGATGCCGCCAACCATATATATATATATATATATATATATATATATATATATATATATATATATATATATATATATTCATTCATTCGCCAAATGTACAACAGATGCGACTTCCCAACTCAATGAACGGCACAAGGCGTTTGCAAATGTTACAAATATCTGTTGAGCTTAAGGAGAGAAAACAAATTTTAAGTTCTTGAAGAAATCCAAGTATAGTTTTTGTATTTTCGTTCTTCTGTCACCCCTGCTTCCTACATGCTAACCTCTGCAGTTGAATTTAGTTTGTTATTATGGGAGAGCATGAAATATACGTAACATTCCGGGTCTGACGCTGCGTGGGTTAACCTTCTCTCAAAGTCGAGAAAGATACCACTTATTTATTTAGTTACTTAAACACGATGGCTGCTCCTCTTCCTTCGTGGTCGTTTGGCCTTAACCACGGACTCGCAACAGTTAGGTCACCGGTTCTAGGCCCTCAAAGGAAAAATGAGATGTTCACAGCCGACGATACACGAAAAGACGAAACGACTGCCCGGATGTCTGACTGCGACGAATCTCTTTCGAAAATACAATCAAAATCTCACTTCTCATTGCTCATTAATGGAAGTGAGTAAGAATCGTAGAAGGTGGAAATGCAGGGGAAAGAAGAACGATGCGGTAAAACGGATGATGATTATGATGGAAATTTCGCGCAAAATCCAGTACAGTATCAACAATGAAATCAGAGAAATTGGGTGACAGATGTAACCATCGAATCAGTCTATATGATGTGGAGTAACTAACATCGAAGCAGATGGCTATCAGTGCATGTTCATGAGCGACGACAACAAGCAGGCATTGGGTGATGACGGAATCGCGGTGTATCGGATAGAGGGTAGGTGCAGTTGGAATCGAATTAAGACATGGTATGTCTATTGAAAATGTGGTTCTCATGACGAACCACGGGCACATGAGTTGAAATAACCGATATTAAAACTCGATTCCACAGTCCCGACAGGCGAAGTAAGTATAGCCGTTGAGATAACAGGGATCTTAGAAGAGCGAAAGGAAACATGACGGCGCGTTTTTCTAACAACGAAGTTAGATGAGCCGGAGTTAAGCGAAAAATTGTTGAATGATGTTGGCATTGTGCATCTGAATGCACTGCCTGCTGCTTTAGGATACTAACGTAAAAAGCGGTGCCCTTATTGGGCACAAGTGTGAACGGGATAGAAAACATCAGATAGTCTGACATCAGGGCTTAAAATGATCGAATGAACACAGAATAGATAGTTCACATGCTTTGGAGTCCCAAATGATCCGGAATCAACACTTAGAGGCACGCTGTATGCCGCTTATCCGAGAGAACACCACACAAAGGTAGGTGAGCCGTGTGCACTCTTTCGCAGCCATGGAAAAAGGCAGGTTGTCAAGAAATCGTCGGCTACACTCCAACTGACAAGTGAGTTGACGTAACGTCACTGGAAGAGGGAACAAAGAGTGTACTGTGATTCTTCCATGAGGCAAAGAGTAGTTTAAGGGTGACATTGGCCGCACTGCTAATTGAGGACAACAGTGAAAGGCTGTCACCGGCCCATAGGTTTGGAATAAGTGTGCAGCCCCGTTTCATCAAACGATGCATACTGTCCGATATCACATTTCAGCTAACGGTAACGTTACTTGGGGTGACGCGCACTTGTCCGTCAGCTAAGTGTGATCTCAAATCAGTGTCACATATCTATTGGCGGCGTAAAAGGAAATGGATCTTCATAGCACTAGATATCTGTTCGCCAAATCTACGTGCCGACATATCACTACAGCGCAATCGCAAATGACTCCCAAATCCATGAAAATAAGCAAGAAATCCAGTCCGGAGACAGAGATTGCAAGCTCGACACCTGGACCACATCCCCTATTAGATACTTTGACGCCGATGTACGGTACCATCAAATAAAACGAGAAACAAACCTAAGGAAGGTGGTGTGTGAGGGTATTGTGCCATTCAAAACACAACTTGGAAACGAGTACAGATAGCTGACCTGAAGTGAGGGAGACACAGTCTTGCAGTAGGTCTGAGACCAGATAAGGCTTCCGGCTCAAATGGTGAATAGCGTGCATCAGGGTTTTCTCAAACCAAACAGATGTCTGAAACTTTCCAAAGAGGGTCACCAATCGAGAACGGATAACTCCTGGAATAACAATAAAACGCATCCACGTCAGTTGCATGAGGAAAGGCAAAAAGTAACTGGTAAATCATGAAAAGGAAAAGGAAGAATGGACTACGTGATGCAGAGAACTAAGCGACCTGGAAAAGGTAGACGCTACGGGAGAGTGCAAACAATGTATGGAGTGGGATGATCGTAAAAGTATTTTAGCATTTGTTATGCCTAAACAAGAGTTCCGTTTCACAGATCATTTCAGAGAATTGACCATAGCCGATGGCCTTTGAGCAGAACAGACGGGGATGTGTAAAAGGCATGTTTGGCATCAGAACGAGGAAGAGAATGATTGCCGAAACAGTGATACAATACTAGCCGTAGCAACCATAACGTGTGACGATGCAAACTATCAGCTTGCATTCAATGAATGGGATGCATCGAGTCGCATGCTGCCACGGGGTATGCTGATCAGAGACACAGTTTAACTTCGTGGTAAACAGGCTCTTGAAGCCGCAATGATGACGTTGTCTAGTCTGGCAACGAGAGCAGTGCAAAACCCACATCCACACCCCGAGTTACGGACATTACCAACCATTTCAAATTTCTTCCTCATTTCCACAATAAAAACAAGCCCCAATATGCAGTGTGTAAAGCAGTTAAGAAAACTCGGTTCAGTGCGATAAACCCAGTCAATTTGGTGAAGCAACCACATAGGTGATGGATGATAGGATTTAATGCTCCAATCGCCCAACGACATTCTAAACGGGGGTTCACACTGGCATCGTATGGGGAATGGGGCAACAGGTGGTTCGGTCAGATCAACAACCAGACGCTGGTGCTTTAACCAGAGAAGCAATGAAATACAGGTGACAACTATAAGAACAAGGACAGATAGAACACTGTGACTTCTGCGTCGACGGTAATAAAAGTGATTCCGTGGGAAAGGCATGGCAAAAGGCAATACAGCAGCCAAGCACTCACGGTATGAGTGATTCGAATACGAAAAGAGATGAATTGAAAATCAACACATCAAACAACGATAGGAATTCGCAGAGCCGGACAACTAAATTAAAAGATCTGAGTGACCAAGTGTGCACCTCGGTGCGTTGGTTTTAAAACAAGTCAGTATGGAAACGAGCACAAACGGGACGGCATGCATCAACGCTCACCCGGATCCTCTGAGTAAGATTGGGTTAAGCAGGCATTGCATTCTTGCATCAACTGATATTCCTGGTACCCCACGACAGCTTCCGCATCCGTGCAGGCGAAGCACAAATCTGGACTGACGCCCACTGTGTACACCACACCGTTAGTGTCCAAGAGTATGGCTTGGTATGATGGTGAGCTGTTCAAAGCGGCACAAAGTTTAGAGAGGATTTAGTATGCAAGTGGAACACTGGTTCCTTGAACCTTAAATTAAGCGGCTGCGAGAAATCCGACGCATGATAAGCAGCCACGTGAGAAAATTCGCTTTTAACTACAACAGGCAGTTGCGGGTAGTTTCAGGCAGGAAGTGATTGAGATAGCTAGCGATATCACTCTATTTCGATGCGTTCGTAGTGGCACAATAAAACTATATCTACTGAGACGCAACTGCTTTTAGATCAGGCAACCTAATCTCCGTCCGATTTTCGGGTGTGAAAGGGGCATTCGTATTGCATCACGCCAGTATCGGTCGCCTAATGTGCGAGCGAATAAACCCATGAATGAAGGGACTTTGCTAAATCCGTAATAGACTGTGCAGTCATATTAGGCTAGTGACGGGGTATCGCAATATCAGATAGCGAAAAATGTATCAAGGCAGAAAACTGTGGAATGCAAATCCGCTAATTCAAGTGCAGTCGTACTGCAACGCCACTTGTGTTCGACTCAAAATGAGAACTCACGCAAAGTTTTGACCCTGTGGACTTAATACCAGTCGTTGTGTGGGGACTTGCACAAGACGGACCGGTTCCCTCACATCCCAAATGGCCAAACGGGGACCATGCACTAGTCGCCACACCTCCAATATCCGGCGTTCAGGAGCGTGGATACACAGACAGTGAGTGCGACGCGGTATGGATTGGACATGAGGCTGTGATGTGGGTAGATTGAACTCGCAAGCGTCTACGAAAGCGAGTTCAGCGTCTCGGTAACCTGTACGCAGACAGGAGGAAGAGTCGAATCAGATACACGATTGCGTGAGTGAGCGGAATTCAATGCCAATTGGGGTATGCGCAGTGGCTTACCTTTCCACATGCGAACAACTCGTTTCTTGCGCAAATCGAGCAATTGCACCCTCCCAAGGCTGTCTGTCATGGCCAACCAACACTGGTCATTTGTGACCACGGCACTTCCGCATATCACATGGCGTCTTTGGTCAGCAAGCCCGTGAATCCAATTGAATACCGTGCCTTGGATGTTTGAACAATCACCACCACGCGGTGTGATTGGTTCACCTTGTTTATCTCTGAACGCCACTTCGATGGCATCTTTGATGGGGCTCCTAAAGCAGGTAAAAAAAGGTCAGTGTGCCACAGCACACCTGCGCCAAAAAGTTTGGGTGTAGCACATGCGAACAGAGTAGTTTGTTGACATCATACAACGTGGGGCGAAAACATCAGTTTCTAGGTATCTTCGTCGTCAACAGTAAAATATGAGACAGCATTGTGAACTAGTGCTTCACATCCACAAAATCATAATGGCCCAATTGAAGAGGAATATGAAGAGCAGTAAACATCCAAAATTAGGGCTTCTACACTTTGCCAAAAGTGTAGAGTCCTAAACCGTTGACATTATGGGAAGGAAGGTGGTATCGTCACGACAGCTTCCATTTGGCTCTCGCCAGAGGTCCTTCGAAACACGGCTTAAACAGATACAAAAAAAGCCAGATGACAGAAAACCCTTCACCGAATCCGAGTTCGAACCACATGGTCACAACATGCCAAGCATGCATCAAATGGCGTGGACCAGTCTGGGTGATAGGGGTGAACGACATCCAGTCTAAGCGACACTGGACTTCAATGTCCTCCAATGAACCTTGTATGGGTTTAGATCCAGGATACAAAATACAGCCTTCCGCAGTAAGCGATGGGCAAGGATGCTTGATACGTATCTAAACAGAGGCAACATATTCAGCCTTAATTGCCTATCTAAATAAATAAATGATCATATTTCTAAAGGGGCGATAGTTTTTACGCAGACGTTACATGATGCAACCTATATTTCTGCAATTCGCAAACTCCACTCATTGTCTCAGATTCCTCAGTCCAAGTACGAGGACTATTTTATGAGGTGAAATCAAAGTCCATAAACAAAACATCCCGACCGGAGACCAGTGTCAGTCAAAAACGCAAAAGCAACAAGTATTAAAATCACAATGGACCAAAAAAGAAAGCGCAGAATGAATTGAACATTGTCCCGGATTTAATGACACAAACCAATACTTATCCTTCGATGAGGAACTGTTTACCTTTAATAGAATCTCAGGAAAAATGCACTAACAGGAAGGCTGTGAAAAAGGTGAATTTTCCATTACTCCAAGAATTTTGTCGATAGTATTAAAAGCCAAGAAGTAGTGGAAGTCGGACGTTGATGGAGACCTGAGGTACACAATAGGTACCAAGGAATGACATGAGAGCTAAGTGACCGCCACCGTGAAAAACTGTGGCGGCTGCTGGGCCCCAAGCGAGTGGCGATTGCTGAATAAGACGAGTAAACAAGGAGAGCGGAAATGTGGAGCATTAATCCGTAATGCCAATTTCGATAACGGTATAATAGTGAATCATGGGAGATGTCACTGGTGGTCATCATAGAAGGTGACTTCACGACGGTAAAGAAGAGTGGAATTGAGCTACTAGAATGGACATGGAAGAAGAAGATTGGAGTCAAGATTTCTGAGGAGTCATTTGTGCCACAGTCGTATGACTGAGGCACTGGTTCAAGGAACCGACCTGTCACCGAACACTTGCGTGCGTAGCTCGTTGTTGATGACACACCTGACCCAAGCACTGAAGATGCTCAGACCGACAGAATCAAGTCTTGCCGCAATAAAGAGAAACAGCTCTTGTCATGGCCGTGTAATCGAACGGTATTCGCCGCCAGGATATGTAGCCTCCGAAATCGCCTCGGATAGATGCATCGCTGTACACCAGTCAGCTACGCATTGATGGGTAGTTGACGCACAAAATGCATCGGAATGCGTGGTGCAAACGAGAGAAGCTATATGACGATGGTGCGCAGTCAGGAAGACACGGATGACCAGAGTAAACAAGAGATGAAGACGACGGGTGCTTCCAAGAACAAACGGTAACACGTATCGTGGGATAATTCGGTGCAAGGAAAAGATGAGCTGTGAAGCAACGTCTGAAATCGAAGCCGCTGCACCTTCGGTTCCGTCCAGAACACCCAAACAGTTAGTACAGCGCAGCACTGCGCCATGTTCAGTGTAGTGGTAATACACGCTTGAACACAGCTAGTGCAGGGGGTGATCATTAGAGAGAAAACGGGGCATTATGTCGATATATTCTCGGGCTTTCGTGCATCCAAGTATTGCACATATTTGGTTTAGGAATCATAGTAATAAGCAAATGCGCAAGCCGTTGATTTAGTTTTCATACTGCCTGGTTAATGAGTTAGTTGCTTTCTGTATAGTCCTATACCCAAACTAGACAAGCCTCTACGAACTTTATTCCTTCCAACATTTTGCTTCATAATTGTATACGCCCGATGAGAATTATCGAAAAGAATATTCTTCGCGCATTTGCTTACTCCTGACTAAAATAGGGATAATTGAATCATAGTGATGTAGTCCGGTGGGGAAACTAGTGTACGGTATGAAATGACGTGGAAGCAGGATTCAACATGGCTGATGGTTAAAACGACCACCTTCCCAATCTGCAAAACTTCATTAAGAAATTCACTAATGACAAGTGCACTCTGTAGTTCTACCACTACGTTAAGTACGTGTACCAAGTGATTGTCAGCTGTTGTTTGAATAACAGGAAACCGGTACTGTGGCTCACACGTCAAACAACATTGGTGAGATAAAGAGCTCTCTTGAGGAAGATGATAGCTGGAAGCACAAATGAAACAACATGTAACGAGGAGTAGGTGTGTTCAGCAGTATTCTGGGATGATTGATACCCCGGGAAAGCAAAACAAGACTACATGCATGCGAATGGTGTCGGGAACTAAATGGAAGGCAACTCACTCAAAGCACGCAACCTCTAAGTAAGCAACAGAATAAGGAGTCTTTTAGTACTCTACTAACACATGATGTGATGGTAGAATCAATACTTCCTGAAAAACCAGGCTGCCTGAGCTCACACGCTGTCACCATTCACAGTTCCAAATATGCTCTAACGACGAGCTTTTGGGGCGGACAGCGTGTGAACTCTACTACTGATGGCCTGAGCGTTAGACAACGTGACAGAGGCCTAAAAACGTACACACCCTACAATTATCCCAGTTGTTGAATGGATACGCCTGATGAAGCGATTCATTTCGTGGCCGTCACCGGTGTCTGTTACAAAATATTATTCAAATTGGTCAACCAGGTAACTGAACACCCGCTAATTTGCCAGCTATAAACCCCATTAAAATGTAAAGTAGACGGCTGCTCTGCAAAGTCCTGGTAAGTTCGACCACACCTGCTAAATCATTGTGCCCCTCCAACTCGATGGGATCGATGGTATCGTAGATAGTACCAGTAGTCATCCGATTCAAAGGGCTACCCAGTCGAATTATCACGAGGGGCTATAATTCAACCTTAGGACACCACAGTGATTTTAAAGGTGAGTCGATTGCGGTGTAGTCAGTGTCTGGTGCAAGATAAATGCCAATTGTAGCCGATAGGTGGACAAGGAGGCATAAAAAGCACACTCAAACGTTAGTAGGTGAAGCAACGATATGATGGGTACACAGAGTGTGCACTCCACGGTCGGTTCCCTCTTATGTCCGAAATAGACTACGCGAATCCCGTAAAACGGTCTGTTGAAGCGGAACCAAAAAAGTCAATTATTAAAATTGCTGATGGCGATTTGTTTTCCGGTGTTCATGTTGCCTGTTTAAATAGTGACGAAAATGACAGTGGGAAATCCAAACTTGGGATGTGGTTCAAACGACGCTTCGCATTATAAATGCCCGCTACAACTCACAACGTTCAAACTAGACCAACTATAAGTCTAACGCCACTGTAGACAGATGGCGCGCCAGTGCACTAATCAATTAACATACCAGGTATTAGTTTTAAAATATACGTTCATGAACACAAACCCTAGAGTAGACACAAATGGACCCATGAAGTAACTTGCCATTAAAAGACCATAAACAATAACGAGTCAGCCAATGGCGACATCATCCTGAAGTTGGAAGATCGTAACGTGAGTCAAGGCTAACAAGACGCCTAAAAGCGGCTGGGAAGAGACGCGAATAGTTGGTAATGGATGGTGCATAGAAAACAAAAGCAGTAGGAATACAAGATAAAAGGTCGTCGATAGCAATCAAACGATTCTAGAGACATTCCTGCAAATGGGGCTTGAAATGCGAGTGGTGACACTGGTGGCTGCGTAACATGTTCTTCTGCAGACTGAATGATTACGACGCCATAGCCATGCTACGACATGAAACAGAGAGATGAATATCCTCCGCGTAAATGCATGATATAATTATGGGAGCATGGACGGAAAGTCATCGCCAAGTGGCCAGAATCAAAACAACCAGTAAAGCGAGGTTTGGAGATGGACTACGGAACGATGGTTGTTCCGAATGATGTCCTTGCTAGCTAGAGGCTTCTCGTTGTGACGGCACAACACCCGCAGAAGGGTGACTTCGCGCCCACCAGCCTAGAAACAGCTATGGATGCAAAATGACCACATTGCGATAACTTACCGATGGAAAGCCTGCGTCCAGAACTATCGTTCGATTTGGAGCACATGTGCAAACGACGACCATGCACCTGCATGTGCTGACTTAAGGATGCGCTTTGGAGGACGCCAAAGACGACGGTGTGAGCACAACCACACCAGCCAACTGAGGAAATTAGCTGTTCTGAATGCCTATTAAAGTACGCTGTAATAGGAGTTGACTAAGCGCTCACCGGATGCAGTTGAAACACACTGGTCTCATATTCACCAGTCCTTACTAAAAACAGGCAAATCCTCATGTGATCAGTCTAATCGCCAACATGGACATTGGGTCTCTTCGTAGTCTTTGGAACTGATAGATGCTCGCCGGTATATTCCGGCTGGAAACGAACACAATGAAACTCTCAACGAGCTCCGGGTAAAACTCCGTGCTAGGCTGAAGAGATATCGCGAATCCTGGTGGTCTCATCGTGCTTCAGAAATGGAAATGGCCGCTGTCCTTGGTAACCATCGTAAGTTATTCCGCCTGATAGGGGAAACGCGCAGCAGAAGACCTGATGTTAGTGAAACTATACGTGACGAGAGTGGACCACCTATCCACAACTTGGGCTGAGCATTTTGAAACGCAATTTAATCGGTCGGAATTGTTAGATTTCTCGCCGGCCACTGATCGCCCCGCTCCCTGGGCTGTCCCTTCGGATCCACCCTCTCGCTCAGAAGTGGAACGTGAGATTGGACTGTTGAAGTTAAATAAAGTCGCGGGACCAGATGGTCTTCCTTCAGCCCTGTTCGAATTCGGGGGACCTACTATGTTGGATGACTTATAAGAGTTACCAGTGAAACTGTGGGAGCAGGAAACTGTCCCAACCGACTGGAACCGCTCCGTCATAGTTCCAATTTTCAAGGGAGGCTCATGATGCCAATGCGGCAACCATAGAGGAAACAGTCTGATCTCCATCGCATCCAAATTGCTTGCCTCTGTCATCATTCACAGACTAACTATCACTCGTGGAAGCCATATTCGTGAAGAGCAACCCGGGTTTCGTCGAAGTCGTGGCTACCTTGACTACGTCTACTCTATGTGTCAGTTGTCGGGGCACCGTCACATATACTGGCGGCCCACCGTTTTCGTGTTCCTCGATATCAAAGGTTCATTCGATCCGGTGGATAGACATGCACTTTGAGACTGTCTACTTAAGAAAGGTGTACCTGAGAAATATGTAAATATTATCCGATCATTACATGCGCGTAGCTCAGGCAGAGTAGGGCTTACGGCAAGCTATCGCCGCTCTTCATTATCTCCAGCGGTGTGAGACAAGGATGCCCGCTGTCACCTTCCCTCTTCAACTTCGCTATTGATGAAGTCATGGAAATCACGTTCACAGGACACGACTATGAAGGTGCGAATTTGCTCCGAGGTGAACGACTTCTCGACTTAGAGTATGCTGATGATACTGTCCTAATCTGTGACAGCTCCCAGCCGTGCGAAGCGGCACTGGACAGAGTAGCACTGGCTGTCCGTCCCTTCGGGCCTTGTTTCGCACCCTCGAAGTGCAAAGCGTTCCTCCAAGATTGGCCTGGACCGCCTCCTACGCTGACCCTTGATGGGGATCAACTAGAAGTCGTTCAAAAATTCAACTACCTGGGAAGTTGTATCAGTGCCCGCATAGCAAAATCTCGAGGCGATTTTGCTAACCTTCGCCACTTATGGCGCCGGCGCGACATCACTCTCGTTCTGAGGGGTAGTGTGCAATGCAGCGGTACGTTCGACCTTACTGTGCGGTTGTAAAATCTAGACCCTTAGATCAACGGACATGAAGAGGCTAGTTATGTTCGATCACCGGCGCCTTCGCAATTTATCGCACCTTTGGTGGGAACACCGCGTGAGCAACGAGCGTGTTCGACGCCTTGTTTACAGCACAAGAAAAGGAAATAAACCGCTCAGCACCGTTATATCTCTCACCAGACTCCGATGGCTGGGCGACGTGTTACGCACGCCAGCTCACCGACTCCCGTGACGTGCGTTGCTTGCGCACCGGAGATGTGGATGGAAGGAGGGTTGGGCAAGCGATGACTTGGTCGAGAGGAATGAAGGCCCTCACTTCGAAGTTGGCCTCAGTTGGAGCGTCTCGGCTTCATGCTTGGGGTCCGAAAGACGATGAACACGTTCGGCTGGATGCATTTGTTGATATGGCTAGGAGCTGACCTCAGTGGCGTTCGTGCTGTGAGTTTCTTTGTCCCATCCCTCCCTCTTAGCCTCCTCTCCAACTACGATTTCATTATTTGACATTTTATAATTTTGTATAAATTATTGTTTCTGCTGAATAGTAGCCGGCAGGTAGCTTACCGGAACGATGCCCATCCGTTACCGGTAGCTCAGCTGGCTTGCACCTTTTGCGTCTTCCTCCTGTTTTTCTTTTATGTATTGTGGCACAGTAGCTGTGGTGTTTCACGCCTCTAGCTAACGTGTATAGTGTGTGTGTGTGTGTGTGTGTGTGGTGGCACTTAGTTGTGTCTATAAAAATCAGATTTTCTAAAACATACTATACGGAAACTTATGAGATACCTATTCAGCTTCCAGGATGTTGGTTACCAAGCTGTTTGTCCAATAAATCGGAATACTTGTGGCTCAGTTTGACTCTTCTGGTTTTCGTTAGTTCGTTAGTTCAATTGTGCTACAGCACAAGTGTTCAGCTCGGAGAACAAACGAAAACCAGAACCAGTTTTTGCAAATTTAGTGTGCAAAAGTACATTCGTCCCTGAGTAAAGTAACGTTAATGAAAACGTCAAATCTTCGTGGTAACCTCATAGTGTGTCTAAAAGCAATGTTGCTATCAGCAATGGAAACAGAAGAATCCGATAACTACAGGAACTCTTTGTATCGTTGCTTAGAGTTACTGATCGATCAAAAGGTGGTTAGTTCCCGTTCGTGCCCGATTCCTTTCCATTCATTGGAAATGATCACTTCCACTATAGACCAATGAGGTGCAAATGGAGCTTAAAAAGGCAATGAGACGAACGACTTTATGACAAACGCGTGCGCGGAGAATGTAAAACGCTTCAGTACCCTTACAGCTGCTGCACGGACTATAGGCCGAATAGATGTACGCTGAAGATACTGAGAGACTACCAGTTTTTCATCGCCAGCGTCTATATAACACTTCTCATACCCCGTTGGATAAACTAATGAGCGATTGAGATGAACGCTAATTCGTGTCTGATAACGGATCCACCGTTGTCGCCTCGGATAATTTTGTAAGGTAGGTAATTCCAGGGTGGCCATGCAACTATATTCCTGTGCATGCCGACAGCGTGCAGTGAGTAGAAGCTATATCCGGCATCAGTGATACCACTGAACTCAGTCCCTGATTCCGTACGACAAGCCTTCCATCAAATGATTTCAACGAAAGCAAGAGCGCCGTTGACTCTGTGATCATACCACATCCGTTAAGATGACCAGCCACTGATGTGACCGGTCCGTAGACCTGATGTCCAGGAAGGCAATGTCACTAAACCAACTCAGTAATTCGCTCTTTGCCTTGCCTGGCTACCCCGGGGTTCTACACAATTAGCTGCAGACTTAACAAACACTGCACACCGAGACAGTCGTCTCACTGGTGTGTGTAGAATAGCACCGAGTTCAACAGGGACTCCAATGGAGCACAAGATGGCCAGTTATCAGACAACAAAAGCTATAGTAACAGACCAGGGTTCACTCTTTGAGAGAGAGGAATTCCGGGCTTGCTTAGAGAAAGTCAGCATTCAAGAAAGTGCGAACGCAGGTAGCCCAGAAAAAATATTCCTAATGTAGTGGTAGGAGTGGTATGAGGCGGTCAAATTACGACGCTCAAGGTTTACAAACGATTGGAAGGAAGATTCACGGCGAATACATGGTATTGAAATGAAGAGGTTGCACGAATTAGAAGAAAAAGCACTTCGCAAAGCGAACATCCCCGGAGGTCCAAGACACCGGGCAAACGTAGCGGGGGCGAACAGTTTGGAAGTATGATGAGCCAAAAAATGTACTACTGCATCAAAAGTAAGTAGTATAGAAGTGCAAAAAGCCAGATGGTAGCGGGACAACAGAGGGCCATACCAACGCTCCAACAGAAGAATGCTTGGGAGCCGAAGACGTATGTGCACCCGATAGAGAAACAGCGCGCACCAAGCAGCCTACAGGAGAGGGTTTGAAAATGAGTGGAACGGTTCGTGGTTCAACATAATGTATAGGTTAAACAAATAGATTAAATAAAAATGATAGATAACTACGTTCGCACTTTAGATTCTTGCAAGGTGTCTTATTCCCCTTCAGTGGCGCTAGCTCGTGTCGGACCATATCGATGGTTGGAACCGTCAGGTCAAGGACGCAAGTGAGATTAGGCAACACAACTAGTAAATCTGATACACTAAACCGGTTGCAACGCTCTTCGAAATAATAAAATAATAATGTCAGCTGTACGCCGTAACGGCGCTTCGCTGCCGAGCGAACACCACCAGTCGCAGGTGGGCTGAATATACCGCGAGAACGCCCACCCCTCTGCGGATTCGAACCCGTGCCGCAAGATTATGAGACAAACTCGTTACCTTTAGATTACGGACCGACAACACTCTTCGAAGTGTGAGTCCTAATGCTTTAGCCGATGGGACTGAAAGAAAGTCAAATGGTGAAAATGAGGAAGTGGTTAAGCAATAGAATTTGAGTTATCGATCAGTCAATTGTTGAAATGCGGTGAATACGACAGCCACAAGTTAGAGGCAAGGAGAGGCAGTTGTCTTGAAATATGACAACAATGCATCGATCGACTGATTACAACAACCCACCTGAGTGACTTGAGAAGTGCCCGTTTCGCTTGGGCGTAAAGAAGAGAGGTTATGGAGGTGCTGGGGGCCTTGTGGAAATAAAGATAAGAGATAATGTTCCGGAAGCACATGCAAAATAGATAGCGCGAAGAGGTATCGCGGTCACATGTATAAAATCGCAAAAAGCAGCCTTGTCTTCAAACAAGTATTCCATTCTCGTAAGCAACGATTCAGCCAAGCTTGGGGGACTTTAGGCCGCGTAGCTAAGCTCATGAGCCAACGGGATGAAAGGATAAATGTCTTACGCAGCAAACATACAGCTTGATATCAAAGGAGTGTAACCGTAATTTTGCATAATAGGTAATGTAAAAACAGGAGACTAGATGGAAAAAAGCCCGGACTGACGATTAGCAAAATCCATGATCATGCTTCTAATGGGGTGTAAAACATAATAGGGAATAAAGCATTATTTATTGACATATTTAAAAGTATGACGAGGGCTGAAATATGAAAAGGACTGAGGTTTGAAGATATATGCGGTTCATACAAATTAGACCAAATTCACTGGTCAGTATGACTAACTGGTGCAACAATACCTCCGCTTTAGTGGGTCAACAGGAATAAAAGATTCGGAGATCACAGTGAAACGAAATGAGGTAAACAGTTAACGGCGGCACTGCTACGCAATAAACTGTGCATTGAAAAGAGAACGAGAACTGGACAGTGGGACGAAGCATTTTATCCCAACAAATGCCCCATCAGAAGTAAACAGACAAGGATGACGATCACTAGGTTCACAGAAAATCGGCTGGCTCGCCGAACAACCTCCTTGTGGTCCAGCTGGGCGTTTTGGGAATTTCCCGTTCCGGCGAATGACTTGGCAGCAGTGTCCCAGGACGTGGTAGGATATCGCCTAGCAAGCGTTCTCCCAATAAAAGCCACAGATGTCCATTTAACAACACTGTGACGTGGTGAATGTGACTGTCCACTGAATAAAGTCACTGCCGCTTGTCTTCTTTGGAGACAATGCACACCGGCAAGCAATCCGAGCAGGGGATTTTTTTCTGACTTCGGGAGTTTTGGGCCCCTGGCATGGCTTATCGTCATCTGAAAGGCGTATGAACTGAGTGTCCAGTCACCGGCTCCCAACTGGTGCGAATCTCTCATCTCGCTCTGCTGCCTTGCGGGCCAGACCCTTTGGCCAAAGGCTCGGGGCGGTGATCCCCTAAGACAACCTACCTACCTCGATCTAGGCAACCGGGTAGTATCCTGCCTACTGACGAACAAAGGATTTACAACTACAATCATTTACATGCTATCTTGCTGCTAGAATGCTATTCACTCATACTACTATGCCAACTTCACAAGAACACACCACCATATTATCTACCCTTCCCTTGTACCATTCATACTCATTTTTACCTGATCCTTCTACTGCGATCAACCTCACCTCCACCGATGAACCTGTTCCTGTGACATCTGCCAACTCAACCACACAGTACTCAACAGGGAGCTGCCAGCCCCGAAGTCTCCCATCTTCGCTCCTGAAACCCGGAAGGCAGTTCAAACTTGCACACACTTGTATGCACATTACTGCAGATCGGTCAGCAATCTGGACTCGCACGCACGCTACAGACCCTTGGAATTGATGTCTGTTGCCAGAGTGAAACGTGACTCCAGGACTCCAACTCGGTCTACCAGCTGGTGTCACCGCTCCATCCATGCACCCGCTTCCATCTCAGCCTCTCTGGTGACGATGAGTCTGTCGCATCTTGGCCAGCTGGTGTTGGAATCGCCCTCAGTGCTAGGGCCGAGGCTGCTGTGGATGTGAAGACCATATATTCACTTTGCGACAGGTGCTAGAGCAGCGCTACGAATACCGCAGACAGACAATAGCTGTATATTTCGACTTCAAGTGTGTTCGATTCAGTTGATCGATACATTCTGTTCGCACAATTTGCGCGGAAAGGTATTCCCACGAAATATGTGAGCATCCTTCGTGCTCTATACTCGAACACTACAGACAGTGTCAGGGTCTACGATGATCCTTCGGAGAGATTTCAGACAAGTGCGTTCGTCAGGGTTGTCCGATTTCCCCGTTTTTGTTCAATTTCGTCATGGACTCTATCATGGAGTGTTCACTTGCGGATTCGCATGATGTAAGTGTGGAGGTCCTGCCTGGTGAAAGGCTAGTTGATCCTGATTATTCGGACGATATTGCCTTACTTTTTGACGATGTTGGCGCGGCATAATCAAGCCAGAATAGACTCTTTAGAATGATCCCATTATTTGGTATGCGCATCGCACCTTCAAAGTGCAGTGTTTCTGCAGGACCAGCAGCCACTTGATAGCGAGGAACTCGAGGTGGTTGATCGATTCACACCTTGGCAGCTACATCATCAACGATGGGCGCACAGGAAACTGAAGTCAGTTCACGCATTGCGAAAGCCAGAACTGCCTTCTTGAACCTGCGACATCTAGGGCGACAGGAGTTTCCCTCCGTCTGAAAGACCATGTTTACAAAGCCAGTTAGGGCCGTCCTGCTTTATGTCAGTGAAACTTGGTCCCTTCGGTCTGAAGATCTGAGGCGCCTTCAAGTCTTCGATCATCGTTGTCTGCGGAGCATTACTGGCAACACCGCAAAGTGCAAGTCCAGGTGTTTGTTAAACTCCGGCACCGACTTTTTTTCGACTATATCTGCAGGCAGGTTGTCTCATACATACACCTCTCCGCTCGCAGTTGGTGAGCGACCCGCTCCAAGTCCGATACGACAAGATTGTACCGGTGTTTTCGTGTGCTACTTGGTGTGCGCACATGAAGCAGCGGCCTCAACACGGGATATTCACAGAGATGCGTCATGATGAGGTCAACCCGCAGTCGACGATAAGCTGGGGTGTAAAGCCCTAGTTTCTTACACTGATCTTCGTACGGCACATCTCGTAAATTGGGAATCAGCCTGGTGGCCACGTGCTGCACTCGCTCAATCTTTTCTACCTCGCTCAGGATGATAGGACAATACCGACAACCATACTCTATCATTAATCGCATTATTGAGACGAAGAGGAGAGTGGCAATCTCTTGGGGCCAAGTGCCGAAGCTGCGGCTGAGCGCCCATAGCATACGAAGGTCGTTTTAGTAAAGACTATTTGTGGTGTCCATGGACTTTAGGTCATAGCGTGATAGTAGCCCAAGATCTTGTACGAAAGGCGCGGAATGCAACGGTTGACCTGCCACAGTGTAGGTTTGATTGTGCTCATTTTTACCCAGCCTCCCGAACTGCGACTTGACTAGGTTGATCGGAAGGTTGACCTCTGCAGACCACGCGGAGAGGTGGTCGAGATCCTGCTAAAGCCGGCCACAGTTATTGGGTGCACGGATTACTCTCCACGCCTTCAAGTCATCTCAAACAACGCACAAAGTGAACGGAGTAACTGAAGCGCTTCATTTATATGGATCAGGAACAAAATGGGCCCCAGTACAACGCCTTGGGGCACGCCACTGTTTGATGGATACCAGTCGGCTAAATGGTTGTCGAACTGGACCCACCGCTTCGTTATTGTTCCCATCTACAAAGGAGGCTCGCGTTCGGAATGCGGTAACCATAGAGGAATCAATATGATCTCCATCGCATCCAAATTACTTGCCCACAGACTTCCGCGGCGTGCGGTGTTTGCTCACCGGGGGTGTGGATGGAAGAAGAGGAGGAGTGGCCAAGCGATGACTTGGTCGAGAGGAATGAAGGCCATCACTTCGGAGCTGATCTCGTTTGGAGCGTCACGGCTCCCTGGTTGGGGTCTAAAAGACGATGAACACGTTTGCCTAGATACGCTTGCTGATATGGCAAAGAGCCGACCTCAGTGGCGTTCTTGCTGTGAGTTTCTTTGTTCCTCCCCACCCCTTTTAGCCTCCCCATCCAACCACGATCTCATTTCGCATCGTAATATAATTTTACATAATAATTTTGCTTGTTGCCTAGTAGCCGGCTGGCAGCTTACTGGAGCGATGCCCATCCGTTGCTGGTAGCTCAGTTGGTATGCAATTGTTGTATTTATTTTCCTTTTCTTTTATGTATTGCGGCACAGTAGCTGAGGTGTTTCTCACCTCTAGCTAACGTGTATAATGATGATGATGATGAACAAGGAAATTCCTGATCTATCGGTGCAGCGAGATACTAACACAGCACACCCTCAGCCTGCCGAGGAGTACTGCATGATTCACCTTGTCAAAACCTTACTGCAGTCAAGGTAAATGACGTTGACCGACTTGCCTCGGTTCAGCGTTTGTAACCATTCGTGCCTCGTCAACAGCAGAATGGTGATGCACGAGCGATCTTCCACAAAACAAAGTTGTGCGGGCGTCAAGAGGACGTCCAACTCGAGAAACCGCAGATGACTCTTATTGACAATCTTCTCAAGCGTCTTTGCACTTCGGCGCCACATTTCTTTTTGACACCAATGAATATGCCCATCATCCTTGCATCATTCCTAGACAAAAAGTATGTACAATACTTCGAGCCATGTATTATACAAACTCTTATCTGTCGTTTGGTGTACATACACTTATAGTGTCTCGGCAGCTCTGTCAACCATTTGATCATGTTTGTATTGGCGTATCTCATTGTACAGAGAATACAACAATTTATTTTATTTTATTTATTTATAAAACAGCCGTCAGGCAGATCGGTCGGTAGTTATCCACTTTGCCTGGGTCATCAGATTTCGGTATTGGCTTCATGACTGAGCATTTTCAGTCGCCCGGTAATAACCCAGTGGATAGTGACCTGTTGAACAGCTTAGTTACAGAAAGCGTGGACTTGAAGATCCGTGGGTGGATTCCATCTGGCCCGGCAGGTTTCGTCACGTCAAGACTTGCCAGCAGCTTGCGTGCATCTTCAATGCTGTAATCCAGGCTGTCTAGTTCAGAGGGGACGGTATTCATCGAACTCAGTCGACACCTGGTCACTTGCAAATACGGAAGAGAATTACGTAGCCAATGCGGACGCAGGATCCGTGCTCGAGGTTAGGGATCGTCCATTTGAGCCTCACAACACTGGCACATTGCCTGCAGGTCTCAGGCGTCGCTACACTAGGTGAAGATCCTCTTAGGAGCAGTTTTTGCGATGGCTGCAAGCTGATCTTGAAGCTTCTGCGTATTTTTCGAGTTGTTGCAGAGATTTCGCTGTACCTTGTACGCCTTGTAATCCTCGTCAGAGCCAGACAAGACGAATTCGTTCCATAGTCTGCGAAGTCGTCAGACCAGTTTGCTATACTTCATGTCGAACCAATGTGGCTAGACTTGCCCAACTTTTCGGTACTTGAGGGGAAAAAATCGGGCGCACAACGATTTCAATCCCTCTCTAAGGATACTCTAACAGGTTTCAAAAGACGAATCCTCTGGTAGCGACCAGTCCATATGACTCGCTGCTCGAGTGAGGTCATTAAAGTCCGCCTTCCAAAATATGAAAGCTGCCTCCAGCAGCCGGCTTTAGCTTACCGGAACGATGCCCATCCGTTACCGGTAGCTCAGCCAGCTTGCACCAGTTGTTTTTTTCTCTCCTTTTTTTCGCTTTGTATTGCGGCACAGTAGCTGAGGTGTTCCCCACCTCTAGCTAACGTGTATGATGATGATGATGATGCCTCCAGCGGCGGCAGTTCCAAGCTGGCTATGGTCATCGAGTGGTCAGTTGCTCCAAGGGGCTCCAAGACTTGTATGTCGTGTACACATTGTTCCCAGCCGACCAAAACCAGGTCTAAGCACGATGGAATCGCGCACGCAGTTATGCGCGTTGGCTGGCGTCATCATCATCATCCTCACACACGTTAGCCAGAGGTGTGAGACACCACAGCTACTGTGCCACAATACATAAAAGAAAAACAAAGGGAAGACGCAAAGGGTGCAAGCCAGCCGAGCTACCGGTAACGGATGGGCATCGTGCCGGTAAGTTACCATCCGGTCATCATGTAGCAAAAAAATTACTAGGCAAAATTATATAAGGCTAAATAGTGAGATCGTGCTTGGAGGGTGAGGCTAAGAGAGGTCAGACAAAGAAACTCACAGCACGAACACCACTGAGGTCAGCTCCTAGCCATATCAACAAGTGTATCCAGCCAAACGTGTTCATCGTCTTTCGGACCCCAACCAGGGAGCCGTGGCTCTCTAACCGAGGCCAGCTTCGAAGTGAGGGCCTTCATTCCTCTCGACCAAGTCATCGCTTGCCCAACCCTCCTCTTCTTCCATCCACATCTCCGGTGCGCAAACAACGCACGTCACGGGAGTCGGTGGGCTAGCATGCGTAACACGTCGCCCAGCCACCGGAGTCTGGCGAGAGATATAACGGTGCTGAGCGGTTTATTTCCTTTTCTTGCGCTGTAAACAAGGCGTCGAACACACTCGTTGCTCACGCGGTGTTCCCACCAGAGGTGCGATAAATTGCGAAGGCACCGGTGGTCGAACGTAACTAGCCTCTTTATGTTCGTTGATCTAAGGGTCCAGGTTTTACAACCGCACAGTAAGGTCGAACGTACCGTTGCATTGTACACTCTAACCCTCAGAATGAGAGTGATGTCGCGCCGGAGCCATAAGTGGCGAAGGTTAGCAAAATCGACTCGAGCTTTTGCTATACGGTTCGTGATCTCATCTTCAATCCCACGGGCGCTGATACAACATCCCAGGTAGTTGAATTTTTGAACGACTTCTAGTTGATCCCCATCAAGGGTCAGCATAGGAGGCGGTCCAGACCAATCTTAAGGTTCATTGCAATGAGCTGAAAGTTCGACTAGGTGAGTAAATGTTTTTTGAACAAGCGTCTGGGCTGCGTCGATGCGTCTACGGTAAACAAAAGATGTGCCACCGGCTAGAAGACAGGTATGAACGAAGAAGTCAACTGGCCGCTATTCACGATAAATTAAGCAAGCATCATTGACATTACGAACACTTGGGGAATTATTAATTCGCGAAACAGATTGGAGCGTATGGGTCGATGACACCCATGACAAAACTCTAGAGCATTTGAGGCCGATGTTGGAATGAACGGAATATGTTCAGTATTTTAGAGCGTTCGAAATGCACGTCCACGCTAAAGAGACTGTGATAAAGCCTACGCAACAGATCACCTGTCACACATTCTGACCTCTGGCGGCCTAGCGCTCCAAATGCGAATACAATATATGAAATTGACTTGCAAAGCACTGTTTCGCGAACTTTGTCCCGATCATCAATTGAGTGTGATCAATCCGCAATTTGGAGACATAAGAGAGTGGAAAAGGTTGTTAGCATGACGTGACAGTACCACTATTTCTCGCTGTATTTGGACCGTCATTGGTAGTAAAAACGACATACTGATCCGCGCGCTGATCCCCTTGCGGGCACATCGAGGGCGCAATGCATGTACGATTGTGACGGAGTGAGGAGTAGACTGTGCGGTCACAACAAAATGACCACTGTGGTCTCAAGCTGGATGTCTAACATTATACTCCGTTCCGCGAGGCACACCCTGCTCTGCATGCAAGTAGCCAGCCAGCCAGCCGGGGTTTAGTTTAAAATGATCTCTCCAACCAGCCATGCGATGTAAAGGAAAACACTACTAGCTATCCGTCTGGTGTGCTTAGCCTACTATAACAGCAGTGGCGATATTTCCACCAAGTTTCCGACTAATTCGTGGACGCGATACTGCCTCTCAGCGAGCAGGGCGGATGAGCGGACTAAACCGGTGCAACTCATCAAAGTAAAGAAAGTAAGCACCCTGTAAGAATGCCCGAGGATGTCCTCGGAGCCAATGCAAATGCACCGAATAGACTTTCAAATCCACACAAACATCCGCCACCTGTATCTGATAAGAATATAGTCCATCATGGTCTGCTTAATGCACACGCTCGCGTCTGAAAGCTGTACTGCCTTTACATAGGTATCCAGTGTCAGTGAACCAGGTACAAACTCAATCCACACCATAGATGATTTTGTCTTCTCCAGGCGATCAAGTGGAGCTATCAGTAAGTTTGGCACAGCGCTTTCTGCGCCATTGTGGATCTCAATTCCGGTAGAAAATGCCCCATTTCATAAACTCGGTACGAGTTGATACAAGCGCACCACATCTTTATCATCCCGTTGGTCTGTTTTAAGGAAATGGTACACATCAGGTTCAACAGGATATGCGTCGGCTACTGATAGATTTGACGCAGGATGCGGATACCGAGATTTAAGGTGGGCCGTTAATGTGTATAAGTAAAAGGGGGTCCTTGTTACTCACACTGGAAAGATTAGAAGAGAACGATGAAAAAGAGTGTAACATATTAACGCCGGCGACTAAACTATATTTTCAGATGACTTTCCGCAGTTGAGAGCTGCCATCGAGAGGAAATTAAAATCTCTCAGTAAAACCCAGACTTCAAATGAGAGTGAGTCGAGCCAATAGTGTAACAAAAGTATAAAGCAGTTCCGGAGAACTTCCTACCAGTCAGGTGATGCACACACCTGCCTCTTGGCTGGTGGGATGGGCTAAAGAATACACTAGTGACCCAAGTAAGTGGTCTGAAAATGAACATTTGGAGTTGACCAAATATGCGTTGATCTGCACACTACTTTTGCCATTTCGGTAGCTGGGCCTAATGCACGTTTTTGCGCCAAAGCGTTGACTGATTTAGTTGGGGTTGGCAGCGACGTATGGTCTAATGCCTCGATTAATTCGAATGAGTATGGAAAACAGTGCGTTGCCAGGAGCTTACGGATTGGTTCTAATAGCTTCGCTAACCAATGAGCAACACTGTGGTATGGGTTTTTGCTTATGAACATAATCGGTCGTAGGGGATTACCCGCCTTGTGTGTCTTCTGTGCGCTTCTCATTCGTGGTGTTTCCGTGCCTGTCAGTTTCGATCCATAGAAGATCAACCAACGAAAGTTACCAGTGCAAACGGCTGAGAAGAAAGCCGTTTACTTATTCTTGCCCTTCAAAGGAGACCATGTTTCAAACGACATTGGTCACGAGCTCAGATTTGCTGCAATGCGCACTTATACTACCGCGCAGCTACGCATCATCCATACCACACGAAGGCTTGCTCTCAACTACCGTCCGAGCTGCTCACCAGTCGGTTCGACCTTTCATGTTATTTACCAGTTCATTGGCAGTTGCGGTGACGTATACATAGGCAGGACCGGTCGCCCATTAGCTCAACGGGTAGCTGAACACTTCCCTGTGGTTAAGATAGTCCATAATGAAAAAAAGGGATGGATCAAACGACGAACCGGAACCTTGTCTCGTCTATCTCAGAGCATCTCGTAACGAATGGCCATCACGGGACCCAGCAAAAGCGTTCAACGTGCTATTCATTAACCGTAACTCGAAAAGCTAGCGATCAGTGAAGCGCTACTGATTGCGGTGGACCGACCGGGGTTGTGGGCGCAAAAGGAACTGTGGCAATCTATCAGATTGCCGTGGTCATGCTTTTTCAGCTTAAATTTACGCACTTGATTGCGTTCCAATTGTAAATACCTTGTCTCAAATGTACTGCGTTGGTGACATGTTAATACATAGCAATTTGTCTTCTGTTCGCGCTAAATAAATGGGTAAAGGACACGCAGTCTTTCACTACACTTCGTTTGACGCGCTGTGCTCATACTCTCGCGTTTCCTGTTCTCCATTCGCTACCCCCAGTTGGTACTGACTGTTCCCACGGTAATGTGGACCATGATAAGTGGATACATCGCGCTTTGGTTATCGGATCCTAACTGACCGGCTGAACTGGATAATGCAGATAAACCGTTAACGTAGTCAAATTTGAAAGATTAGAAAAGTACCTAAAAATCAAACGAAGAGAAAAAAGTGAACGATGAAAAGTTAATATTAACTGACGTCGTCCGATGTGTTGAAGCTGATGAAGGGTCGGCTGCCTGTGACGCTCCAAACTGTTCGAACACACGGAGCGTACCATGCCGAATTGCTTTGCTGTTTTGGGAACTCAATCGACTTTTCAACTGTCAGATCTATCATATTCGGGACGCCAGCGTCTAGAATAGTATGCCATGGTTCAAAGATATTGCATACGCACCAGAGCAGAACAACTGACATTGGCCTTCACCATGCAAGAAGAGTAACTTTCGAACCCGTATGAGCATTGTTTCACCTTGGGAATTTTGTGACTGCGCTAGATCAAGTTGCATCACATCGAAAACGCTTTTCCACAAGACGTTTTGCAAGTCCTCCATGTTAAGCACTATAACCGAGGATGTGCATAAAATTGCCAAATGCTACAGTGAAGAATGGAAATCAGACATCTACAGGAGCAATAACTCACCGACAGCTCCAACTGCGTCCTAATGGCAATCGATTTGATGGCACCTTCGTTTAGGTTCAATTCTATGAGGCAGACGCCACACTGACGTTAAAGTGTAAAATACAAGCTACTTCGTTAACAAACAACAGTCGACCATCCACGGTGCCCAAAAGAATAATTTCAACTTCGTTGTTTTTTGACGACCGGCTGCAAGTGGTTCACAGCCAGATGTTCATGACTTACCGTACGTCCGTTGAGAGGATTGTGCATAGAAGAGTGGATATGGAACTTTATATGAAGCAACTAGGACAATGATAGACATACCTGCCAACATCAACAGACCGTAGTGGAGTAGATTTGTAGGACTCACGCTTACATACTGGCTGGTAAGTGAAATTGCACGCTACCTGTAAAGATGTGCAGCACGCGTTTAACGCCAATCACCAAGAAAGTCAGCCTTGGAGACACACTCAACTCAGAGTTACAAATCATATCAGCAAGTGAGCGAGAATCTGAGATAAGAAGGCTGGGCGAAAGTGCCATGTAGTTACAATCTGGAAATAACGAAGGAAAAATGTAGTCTCCGCTAAACGAAAACAAACATCCCAATGGATCTACGGCCCCCGAAGTGCTCCATCCTTCAACAGATTAGCATGCCTCGACGTATGCATATGGTTACAGATTGGACAACAGGCAGCACTAATCAGAGCATTAGACACACGATTTATATCTGTAACTTATTAGAAACCCACCTGCAAGTCTCGAGCCCCGTGCTCACTCTGCGATCCCCTTCAGGTGACACTAGCAGTGACTTCCCATTGCGTCTCTCCGAAGATGTTGCATCTTCGAGTGCTGGCCAAGCGGGTGTGGGTAATGTCTCAAGTCCCCGGGTTGAAGCTGCCCTAGTTGATTGGATCCCAATCAACAGCCGGATGTGCCGTCAGATAGGCTAGCTCGTTCAAAGCTACGAATTCGCGCGCATACAAACGGTGCTTGTTTGTCGTTTAGGCCTACGCTTCAACAAGCAGCAGCGCTGACTTGGTAAAAGACGGATTTTCTCACCAACTGGACGAGCTCCTTTGCTGCAGAAATAGTACGGAAACTGTGACGGAGACCTGAAGGCCCAAGTTAAAATATTGTCCACTGATAAGCTGCATATGGACGGTCAACACGGTGCAGGCTTTGGTAATAACGGTGAAGATACTCGCCTATTTTTTTGGGGGCAGTGACTTTCGACAGAGCACTCATTGGTGGGTGACATGGCGCCCACCAGCCTTAGACAAGTCCTGATGACAAATCGAGATTCAGATGCGACTGGAACGATAGAAAAGCCCCTTGAGTGTTCCTTCTTGAACGAATCGTTGAACCAGGAAATGATAAGGTGCTACGAGGTCAATCAATTAATGCCCACATTCCCTACACTAGCAGTCCCCGCTGTGTAGGTCACGTGGAGTCAGGAAGACGTAGAAAATGGAAGAGAAAGAGAAGTCAAGTCATTTAAATAAAGGATAACACCAAAGAGTGAGGAGAATGAGAAAATATGAAATCAAAGTGCGAAAATGGATATGATCAGGAGAAAAGAAAGGTTTCGTATTGCCACCCAAGAGCGTCTACCTGACCCTCGAAACCCTTATCTAGACTTACTGGAAGCGAGTTCCAGCGCCCGATAACTCTACGCGATAACTGATCACTTACCGCTAGAGAGATTGGTCCAAAACTGTCGCTCGATTATGAGCAATACGTGGAGACTGACTACGCTGATCTGCGCATGCATTCTGGCGGACGGTCGCGACGACGCCGTGAGAGCTCAGATACCCGCCAAGTGGGGAAGCCAGACCACACTCAGCACAGCATCACGACTGCCTGTGGCACTGTATGCCGAAGTCATGTCGTTGGCATTCATTGGATCATTGGATGATAGAGAACAGAAGGAAGGTCTGTCACTTCCTGATCGTTGCGAAGATGGCCTGGGTCATTGCGAAACAAGGTCCCACAGAGAACCACTGAAACTGCATTGGAAACAGCTAGATCCCCGCAAACTAAAATGAGAATCCAACAAATGCTTGGAATGCTCATCGGTCTCGGCATCGACGATGGACTCCGGAAGGCGGTTCCAGTCATTCAGAAGGCGGGTGAAGAAAGCCAGACTGGATCCCACTCGAAGGAACACTCAAGGGATTTTCCTATCGTTCCAGTAGCAACTGAATCTGAACAGTTTCAAACCAGATGCACTGTAGACCTTCGAACGCGAGGTCACATGCTTACTGCAGCTCAGGTATTTGGATGTCGTAGCTAACCTTGTGTCACCGCATCACACCCTGTCCAACCAAGTAATGCCCACGTGTCCCGCCCTGGTAGTCCCTGTTGGGCCGGTTAAGTGAAGTAAGAAAGAGAAAAGGTAAAGTCAGAAGGCAAAAAAGAAAGTGGAAAGAGCTAAGTAAATAGAATACCAAGATATTTGTCATTAAGAAAGAACTGAAAAGTGAAGGTGAATCAGTTAGGAAAAAGGAAAGGTTTGCTGTTGCCACCCAAGAACATCGAGCTGGCGTGCAAAACTCTTAAACGTAGGTTCCCTAACCACGTGATCTGGAAGCGAATTCTAACGATGTATAACTCGGCGCGACAGACGAGTTTCCATCCTAATCCTATCAGACCGTGATTTATGCAGTTTCAGTGGGTGACCGCGGAGATTAGGTAAGGTAGCGGGACTAAATAGCCTTGACAAATCCGGGCCGATCTTACCCGTCAAAATATGATAAGTGAGAATCAGATCCCCTCTTATCCTTCGGTAGTGCATTGAGTACATCCCCAAACTAAGCAAGCGTTCAGGATACGTCTGTCTCCGTAGCCCCAGCACTAACCGAGTGCCCACTCGTAACACCCTCTCCAAGTCCATTTTGTCTCGGTTAAGACATGGTGGACAAGTCTGGATACAATACACAAGGTGGGGTCAGACGAATGCTGAGAATAGCTTCAGAAAAAAGTTGGCCGTTAGGATTCCGAAAGATCGGCAGATAAACCACATCATACGATACCCCCGACAAGCAGCCTTCTTCCAATCGTCGTCAGAATGAAGTGCTGATGAGTGTACGACCCCTAAATCAACCCGATGAGTGACAACAGGGAGTTCACCAACGCCGACAACCTATCGGGTGGAAGAATTAGGAGCTCCGATTAGGAGAACAGAGCACTTGGCCCTATTTATGGGCATCAACTATAAGGTAGACCATTCCCAGAGCCTATCCAAGGCACGATGAATCGCCTCAGGACCCCCCGAGTTATCCGCATTATTCCAGAGCTTAAGGTCGTCAGCAAACATTAGTGATGACACCCCTAGCTTTCCCGGAAAGACATTTACATAGATCGCGAACAACAATGGCCCCAATACCGAGCAAAGCGGACGCCACTAAGGACAGCTTGCCTGAGCGAAAGGCTACGCCCCACCCGTCCGCACTGTTCACCCACTCAAGGAAGGCAGACACCCACTGAAGGGCGCGACCAGATATCCGTAAGATCTCAACTTTAGTGAGAGCCGAAGATGTGGAACAGTGCCAAAAGCTTTCGAAAAATCTACGAATAGCACGTCTATAGCGTGGCCACTGTCTACCGCTTCCGCCCAGCTTTCACGAGCTACAAGTAGATTAGTTTGACATGAAAATCCTTTGCGGAATCCATGTTGCGTAACACTGAGAAGGTTGAATCTATTCAGGTGGTTCTCCACTGAATCCCTTATCAGCTTTTCAAACGACTTGACTACTAGGCTTGTCAAACTGACAGGCTTGTGGTTCGCGGGCAGAGCGCTGTCACCGCCCTTAAAAATCGGACAGATAATTGCTTCCTTCCATTCCGAAGGTAGGATGCAGCTGTCAAGCGACAATGAAAACACGCATGTGAGAGGACCACTCAGCTCAGTGGCCAATTCCTGCAACAGCTCCGGATGAATTGAATCAGGACCGGAAGCTTTAGAGGGATTAATGCCTTGCAGTAGCTCGAAGACCTCAGTCGCTGTTATGTTAAACTCAGCTAAGCAAGAATCCCCTAGAACTCGTGAAACCACTTCAACCTGTGGTAAAGAGGTTTCCCGAGCAAAGACCCCAGTATATTGATCATTAAGTACACAAGCCTTGTCATAGTCGGTTTGCGCACGGGTCCCGTCTGCTCGCAATAATGCTGATATGGATAGTTTTGCCCCGCTGCGTCTTATAACGTAAGCAAAAAACTTCTTGGGATTAGCTGCGGCCGAGTCCGCTAAACCCTGCTCGTACTGAAGACGAACAGTTCTGAGATGTTGCTTACATTTATTTCTAATCTCTCGATAGATATCATAGGTACTGGCTGATGGAGCTGTTTGGTAGTTTCGTCAGCATCTAGACCGTTTCTTGAGTAGGAACTTGCCTGTGGTATCTACCCATGGAGGCTGTGCCCGTTACCCTCTTTTCCTCATGAGCGGAATATAGGGAGTGGAAAACTCCGTAAGGTATGCCTTAAATATATCCCAAACTAACTGGACAGAGTCAGTCATTGAGATCTCACAGTTCAGAACTGAAGCCCGCCCGCCAAATATTCGGAAGTAATCAGCAGCGGTCAGTTGGTGACTTGAAAGAGCACATCGAAAGGATATGCATGCCTGATCGCTGGACCCTAGAGGTGCACCGTATGAAACCACAGTCACGAAGCGGAGTGACTTAGCGAAAACCAGATCTAAAGTAGATAGTATTTAGCTGTCCATATACCTAGTGGGGAAGTCCACGAACTGATGCAAAGGCACTTGGAGAGTCAGCTCATGAAAATCTGCACCGAATGTCCCTGATGCCGAATTGCCAGAAAGATCGGCCCAACGGACTTCCGGGAGGTTGAAATCCCCTAGAACTAAACACCTATACGCGGACTGAGTGCGAATAAAGTCAATTATCCCTCTGGAAGAACTTCCAGGACTCCTGTATATCACTACAACTGTAAACTATGTAGATGACGTGCACAAAACAACCAATAGGGCCTCAACAGTCCGATCCGACGACTGAAATGTGCAGGTCCTCAACACATCTAAGCTACAGCTAACATACAGTACAACGCCTCCGCCTTGGCGACCAACAGAGCGACCAGTCCTAAGCAGCGCGTAGCCAGGTGAACATACCTCACCGTCCGTGATTCAGATGGACTGGAACGATAGGAAAATCCCTTGAGTGTTCCTTCTTGAGCGGATCGTTGAGCCAGGAAATGATAAGGTGCTAGGAGGTCTTGATAGATCTAAAAACTAAACACCGGAAACA